GATTGTCTGACAAATGCAAATCGAAAGAAAAAGAAGTAATAGTTTCTACGGGTTTTCTTTTTTTTCACTTACCAACTTGTGTTTCGAAGACACGTCCGCATAAGTCAGAGTTTGCCATCACAGATAAAATCAGGCAGGAGATGATAAGAATTTTAAAGGCCAACTGAATCGGACCTGTATTAGCCATTGACTGATAAAGGCTTCCCTTGAACTCTTGTCGTAACTTAATCAAAACTCTTTCAACAGCAGCTTTTACGAAAGAGAGATTTCAATGTTTTGTACAGAGGGGCGGTGGTTGCACCGAAAGAAATTATATTTTGCGTATGAACTCTGCCTTTTGAATTCTTTCCGCAACCTTGTATTGTTTTAAGTTGGTTTTCTCACAATTGATAAAATAAACAAAGCTTCCTAATAATTATAGTTTTATAGTTTAAATCCCAAGGGGCAAATAAGCTCAAAGTAAATTACAATGAAACTGAAAGCAACCGAAAAAAACTTTTAAAAAAATTTGTTTCTTATCGATTTAATCATCAACCACTTGACGCAAACAAAAGAGATTCAACCTCCCACCAGGAATTTTTTTTAAAATATTTTTGTGCATAATTGTCAGTGTTGTGTTTTTTCTTAAAACCTCATAACAATTTCAGAGCAATTTTTGTTTTCTTACTATCATCGTCAAGACTAGCCAGGCGAGGGGGCTGTAAAAATAACTCCCAACACCTGCTCTTAGTGATAATAAAATGCATTTAATTCCTTTTCCATATTTCATAGTACACTAAAAAAATTGATTTTCTTTTGGTTTCCTCTCAAACCTCATTCCATGAAGACGAGTGTGATTACTATTATCTTCATTTATCAATCCGCAATTACATTCACAGTCGTTCAAACCTCATTCCGTTGATCCTTAGATCCTCAGATGTTGTCAAAGCTGTAAAAAGGAAATTTTTCCACATCGCAATCACTATTCAGTTTCAGTGATAAATAATTCAATATTGATATGAATAAAATTTGAAAACATTCTGGAAATTGTATCTTCATTATTTTAATCAGTTAGAATTTTTAACCTTGCTTTGTGTCATGAAATTGGAACTGAATCTATTTTAAAATATTCTCACTGATTTCCCCGGCCTTATCAGCCTGATGTGTTTTGAATACTGCTGATGATAGTAAATCATTATTTTTAATTATTTACGGATTTTATTCCAGTGCTCTTTGTTTAAGTTTATGTATCAATCTACAGCATTACCTCTCAGTCTGGGTTCTTTTTCAATTCTCCAAGAGTTGATAATATTCATACTTTCTCTTCTTAATTTGATTGGATGACAAAACTCGATAGTGGAACGACTCTCTACAGCAGAGATTTGCACTTTAAGGCCAAATGAACTTGCTGATACAATGGAGTACATCAAGATATTGAATAAAGTTACCCAAAAGATTGACAAGTTACAGTCTTTAGTGCCTGCAGAAAATCGTAATGTCCAACTTTCAATACCCGCAGAAGATTGCAATGTCTAACATACAGTACCCGCAGAACATTGCCAACTTTAAGAACTTGCGCCTGAATTAACGTAACGAAGTCTTCCTTTAATCGACAATATTTTGAAAGATAATTTACTATTTACCATGTGGCAAGGTTGTAAACTTCTCACATCGTAGTTTTGAATGCTAGCGTCTCAAAAGTAAATAGAAAATGTTCTAGAATGCAGAAGTGACAAAGTTGCAAAGTTATCAACGGACAAAGATTCTCCAAGTATTATCACATTGCCATGTGTTAGAACCTGGCCAAGTGATCCAGTGATAGCTACCCACAATGAATGCTGAGTATACAGACAGCTCCTTCTGCCCTTCATGTCCCCATTTTCCAACACGATACGCGCCCTTTTCATCCCCCATTCTACGCATCTACTCGCGAGGACTGAGTTGTCTCCCTCAAGTTTCTCAAATGAACCACAAGCTTTGGGAAAAACGTCGGTATCACCGCCAAAAAAGCGACTACAGCTTCAGTAGAGGCGTTAGCGGCTGTTTTGACGTGGAAAGTTCGTCCAGGTTGCTGTTTACGGCAGTGGAATCTCAGCTGATTGAAAGGTAAGATTGTTCTCAGTTCTCGCATACCGTCAGGTGAAAGAACTAGCTTGTTGTTTTAATAACGATTGATTCCCCTGTATGACTTCTTAACATCCAAACTGATCGGGGTAGACGACTGATTTATCACAATATTATAAATCAGAAGCCAACCTCCTAGTGATAAAAAAGAAAGAAAATATTTTAAAAAGATGTAGATAAAATGGCAGGATTTCTCCTTTTTCTAAAACTATATATATTGTATTTCCAGCGCGCAGTGGTTATACCATTAAAATCTTCTACAAGTACACCATATCGTCACGGCAACCATGGCGACTGAGGATATCATCTGAGCCTCTTTAATTTTTTTTGTGGGCCTTTTGTAATTTCTAGACAACACCGAAGACAAATTGAACCTTTTTGATACATGGAAAAGAGATAATAAGGCGACGACTTGTTTTATTTTTTTTTCGAACGTTGAAGGGCCCATGATCTGCTTCCTAAGCACTTATCTGTTTTATTTATCTTTTATACCTAACAAATAAAATGATATTTCTAACCCCTGATTTGAGTCTGATTTAGTATTGCACTGGTTACTTAGGGTTCACTAACTCTTTTTCACACAAAAACAAATCATAATCACTTGTGCCTCATTTACACAAGGAACATTTATTTCTTCAATTTCACGGAGAAAAATTTTAATCATATTCGAAATGTTATTTCATCACTTACCTCCATCAGTTGTCATATCACAATACACCTTTAAAGGGTTTCCATTCCGTTCAAGGTCGATCCAGTACTCCCCGTTCCCTTTAGATCTTCCAATTTCCCGTATGTGCTTGCAAGGTTGAGCAGGATAACTGGAATGCCAGCCAAGAACAGCTGAAAATGAAAAAGGTTGTATTCTATCTGAGAAGAAGACGAAAAAGATTCTCCTAAATTGGCAAATGAATAAAGGGGGTAAGAGCGATTGGCTAACGCTCAAAACTTCAGTTTTTAAACTCTTCACAGTGGCCAATTTACATTATCAACTCAGTTAATGATACTAAATAACCTTCTAATACTGTGGAAAAACGGCCGGGTGTTACGATCCAAGGGTTTTTACCATCTTAAATAAACGAAATATAACATATCCAATGGGAACTTGGTTGTTGAAGTAGTGTGGAGTTAACGCGTGAAACGCTATAAAATTTCTGTTACATAATTCGCTTTTCTTGGAGTCACTATGATATAACAGTTCAAAAATGATATCGTTCATTCTTTGGTCCTGCCTCAGGTCAAAAACCAAGCGTATTCACGCGCGAGACATCCTCCATAGTAGGACAGGTCGTTTTTCGTCGTAGTAACATCGTGGAAGCTAGGACTGTAGGAGACCTGTAACATGTGCAGTTAGAATTGCATTAATCCTTTTTCAACATGCAAACTCAGGAGTTCTTACATTTTACGCTGTTGTCAGTCATGTCACTGACTTTCCAGGAAGTCAGGTGCTTTTGATGCACTTTGTTTGGCTTTTAGATGTCTGCCATCGTATGATCGGAGCGTGGTATTAAACAGCGCGAAACAACATAATCTCGTAAAAAGGAAAAAGACAGAAACAGCACAAACAAAAACAAAAAATTTATAACAAATACTGTTCATCCAAAATTTCCTAAACTAAGGTTTATAATTTCAATTGGTTTTTTTTCTTTCTTTCAAAAGCAAAGCTCGTATCCCGGCCTGTAACACCAGCAAGCACAATATTTGTCTTTAAGTTTTGGATGATTGACAAAATAAACCATAGGTCAATCAATGAGTTGCTTTTGATTAAGTTCCTTGAGGCTGCTGTCTAAGAAGAAGCAACTGAAAATATCTTGTTTTATTTCTTCGGGTCATACTGCAGCACGTAGATCATAAGTTATGACCATTGGGTCATAACTGGTTGGTTTTAGACGGATCGAGTTAGAACAGAAATTCTAATCCAGCCTTATTTAAAAGCGAGTCTTAAACAGAAGAAAACTATTTTCCCTTATTAAATAGCACAGGAAATTTGTCAACGGTACTTAGCTCAAACCTTATTAAATTTCTTGAGAAAGACGAATTTGCAAACCCACGCATTGTGGATTATGAAAAAGGCCGATGCCATTTGTGGGGTTGAAAAATACAGTGGATTGCGAATCGACTGAAAATCACCTGTTTAGTCTGCAATAAGAAACGGTTACGCGTTTTCCTTAGCGAGAACAGACTGATTGAGCTCTTTCCCGATTTATTTCTTAAACAAAAGTTTACGATCTTGCCCTCCATTCTCGCTCCACAGGGTGTCATTAAGGGGCGAAAACGAATCACCTTGATGGTCGTGGCTGTAAGTGTAACATTTGCAATATGCTGGGGCACGAACCAAATTGACTACGCTATGATGTACGTAGCATCCTGCGACATTGGTAAAGTTCCCGTTGCCATTTGTAACATAATGGTCTTGTCTAATTCTGCCGTAAACGCGCTTGTATATCTCTCTTTAACCAACACTTCAGAGAGAATATGAATGCAACAACATGCTTCAGTAGCCTACCATCTAACAGGATTCACCCCACTGATAATCCTGTACAGCTCGCTGACATCACCCTTTCGACACAGAGGTGAATCGTCTTTCGTGTAAGGAACAACTAATCATCTTCTGTTAATAAAGGAATGGTCGCTTTCCCTTATAATTGAATTTAACTTACAAAGCTTTAATAAGAAAACATAGAAACTATACGATGGTATTAACCTTCATGTTCTGCATGTCAAACAAGGACAACAATGTCTAAATGATCCTAGACTCTAGGATCGTATCATTTGAATCGAGACCGCACTCATAGGGTAATCTTGACTCAAACAAAACCGCAATCTTGTTCCCAGTTCCTCTCTGCCATTAATTTTTTCTAGCCTCGTTTTGATGAAGATTTTATCCCATGAATCTTGCAGTTCCTCGCAACTTAGAGAACTGTCGTCCATGCTTGTTTAGCGTTAGTAGAGAAAGTGGTTAAGTTTTCAGACAAATATGGCAGCAGTAGACGGCGCTGGGTTCAATTTGGATGAGGACGTTGGTGCTAAAATAAGTGGATTTCGCAAGGAATACGACAATGACCGCGATGGCCGAGAAGATTACGGTAAGGGACCGTTTTTTAACAAATGCAGCGAAGATCGAACTTAGAAATCCATACAGACCTTACAGTTTGATTTGTTGTCTCGAAATTTTTGTTAAGTTCGGCGTGTTAAAATGGTTAACGTGAAGTAGATCTGATTGAGTAGTTTCACCGAAAATCCATAGAAGACTGAATAACATAACAAGTCCTAGAAGTGAACGATCGTTTAACGTTGCTAGATATATTCATTTTAATGATGCAGTTATAAGCGTTCTGTGTATGAGCTCGCTTTCATGTAGTTTTAAGTCATGTTAAAATTGAATTATCAGATCATCTGATAACATTAAACTCTTCTTTACTCTTGTATTTGTTTTATATTTCGATTTTCCTAGTATAAGTTGAAACTGTCAAATTATTTAATTGTGTTTCTTCGTTTACACTGATGAGATGATCAGTAGATGATTTCAGGACCACTTTTAACTAAAGTAACACACAGAGGAGTTGTACATTTGTAGATGAGTCAGAATTTGAAGAATTATTTTTATTTCTTACACATTCAGAATTCCAGCTACAGGTATTTTAATGATGCATACATCAAGGATTTAGGAATCATACATACATTTACATACGTATATAACCGTACACGTTCGGAAGGAGAACAAATAATTGATGGGGTATACTCGTGTGCTACACTCTTTACAATGCCTCAGTGAGGAATTTTATATCATAGCTAAGCAGTGGTAACAAAGAAGAGCGATGAAAAGCATGATGAAATAGTGAAGTAGAAGTTTTGTGTTTTAGTGGCAATTTGTGTCTTGTGTTCCTGTATCCATCTTTATATTGTTGTCTATACTTGTTGTGCAATTTTCAGCATGAAAACATAACATTGATGGAAGTGGAACTGATAAGTGCCACCTACTCAGTATCAAAGTATGGTTAATCAAATCTTTTTGACAACCCTGTATCAGCCAGAAGTTGTTATAATCTTCCACTATGCTAATGAGTACTTTTTGGAATCATGGAATTCTGTCAATTTTAATTGTACCTTTTATACTTTTATTATTTTCTAGGTGACCGCTCAAGAGATAGAGGTGATAGAGGCAGAGATCGACGGCGCAGGTCCAGGTCAAGATCAAGAAGTCCTAACAGAGACAGAAGAAACTTTGGTGGTGGAAGGGACAGATATCGAGGGGGAAACAGGTGATGTCATATACTCTTTTTTAAGGATATACTTGTACTTAGATTTTAAATAATTTGATGTCCATCTTTTGTAATTGTGAAGAAACTTTTTGCTTTTGAATTTTCATCAAAATTGTGAACCCACTGCTTTTGTGAGGTTTGACAGGAGTTCTATTGTAGTTTGCACATGAGGTGATGGATACTCACAGGGTACTTACAGGTTAAGGCACTCAGCAAGTGAATTATTGAGATTCACCAGGAAGCATTCATTGTTTGTGAACAAGTACAGGTAAATCCCAATAATTCATGAACAATGAGTGCATTAACATTTTTAAATTTAAATTGAATACACTGCACAAAGAAACACTTCATTGAAAACCACTATACAAAATGCAAAAACACTTCAACTAGCTTGAATGAAAAATGTAAAATTCACAATCTTACCTTTCAAAACATATATTCCCCAAGCAGTTGCTTTCTTGGTGTTTTTAGGAATTCCATCATCATTAAGAGAATTAATCTCTGCATCTGACAAATTGTCGAACTTTGAGTTAGCCAAAGCCATGGTGTAATGACAGTGGTGTGTTGAATTTACACCAAGGCTATTACACCACAATAATGACATCAAGGAGTTTGTTTTGTCACAACCAAGTATCTTGTGGTACTAATCAGCCAATCAGAAAATTGGAATTCATACAGTGTATGAAAGTTGAATGATAAATTTGTTTTTTTTTGACAAAATTTATTTTTAACCCTATTATTAACTCCTAGATCAAATTTTTAATTCTCCTTACTGTTAAACCATACAATTCTTGTAATGTTAGTTTAGAGAATTTGGGATTGGATTAACTAATTATCCCCAAATTGATATTTTTCTTTATTCTCATCACTTACCTAGTTGATATTGTATTAATATTGTAAGGAGAAATTCTGTCTTGGTCACTCATGGGAGCTAAAGGGTTAACAGAATTTATATGCTTTTAATTTTTCTTTTTAGGTCCCCCTCACCACCACGGAGAAGGAGAAAGAGGTAAGAATCAAAGAGTTAAATTTTCTAGTGTTACAGGTATACCAAGTGTTACTGTTGTCACATAAGTTCCATATTGATTTTCATTCATGTCTAAGGCTGTATACTGTATAGTTTGTTGTTTACTCTTTCTGATTTTGTTCCTGGTGTAATGTATCTTACATGTATATTTTCTTTTGAAGGGAAAGCTTATGGGACAGGCCTCCAATTGGATATGAGCATTTGACACCTGCACAGTACAAGGCTATGAGAGGTAAAGTAACACTTCAAGTGAACAATTATTATTGATTTTTACATTATTGCATTAGATCCAACGAACAATATATATTAGCTCTGCTAAAAATTAAGTGTTGTTTTATGTAGAACTCTTTTGTGAATCTGATAGGAATTTAAAAAATACTGGTTGAACAATACTAGAATAAGATCAAACATAAGTTGAGGTTGGTGCTGTAGACATGTTGTCCCTACTACTACAGCTACAATTATCAATAAGGATTCAAAGTATTCTCTGTTTTCAATGTTAGTCACTGAACATGCATGTACAACCAAAATAAAGCAACTTTCTCCAGACTTGACTTGTAATTTTTGTCTATTTCTTTTCAAAGAATTGTTTTCCAAAATTTGAGTCGCCAAACTCATGGTGAAGCTTATCTGCATTCATGGCTTATAGTACTTTCAGTGTTTGGGATTGTTTAGGTTATCTTTTAAAAGTTCTTGTTTATTTGTTGTCAATCAAAATAGCTGCTGGTCAGATACCAGTCAATGCAGGTGGTCCAGTCCCAGGGGGCACCGTCAGCAGTTTGCCGCAAGGAAGTCAGATGACAAGACAGGCTCGTAGATTATATGTTGGAAACATTCCTTTTGGTATAACAGAGGTGTGTTCTGCATGATTATAGCTGTAGTTTCCTTAGACGTGGAACCCTTTCACTCCCAAGATCATTCACCTAATTCTCCTTACAGTCTGTTCTACAACTCTTATGGTATTGGTTTGAAGAATTTTGTATTGGATCAACTAATAATCCCCTAATTGATACTTTTCTCTATTCTCATCTCTTACCCGCTGATATTGTATTGTTGTTGTAAGGAGAAATTCTGTCTTGATCATTCATGGAAGTTACACATGTAAAGGGTTAAAGTTAAAACTCTATTTAATTACTTGTACATGTAGAGTGAAGGTGTGGCAGTTGTGTTTTATGGCTTCATTTTTTGTATTTATTGATTTTTTTATTGATCACATACAAGCAATTTAGCAATTGATAATAAAATAAACTTGAAACATTTAGCTAAAGGTACTAGTAAACTTTTTTTTTTTATGAGTGGGAAACAGTAGGAGTATTTAAGTGGTCTCAGACCTTCCACTCCACCCACATGTACTATAGTTTCCTCTTTTCTTTCCTATTTTCCTTTTTATCAATTTTTTTGTTTTTCCCCTTTGCTTATTTGATTTTTATTTTGAATTTGTTACAATGACCCAATTTGGAAATATGAATGAACTCTGACTTGGGGTGGCTGCATACAATATTTATACAAGTGTTGAAAAATAGAAATTGTTAACAGATAATTCTCTTCCCCAACCTGATTTTCCATTTTGAGAGCTTTGAAAGTACTGACACGTGGCAGTTGAAGTAAACTTGTCATGTATTTTTATCTCCAATACCCTGATACCCTGTATTCCTTCTTCAAACATAGAACCTGATGATAGAATTCTTCAATGCCAAAATGCAAGAGGCCAAGTTAAACACAGCACCAGGAAACCCTGTCATTGCTGCACAGATCAACTTGGAGCAAAATTTTGCCTTTATTGAGGTACATTGTTATGGTCTTGTTTCCTTTTTGGGTATTTGTTTGTTTGCTGGCATTTGTGTATTTGATTGGGACCACAGATACATGTATCAGTGGTTTGAAATTGAAGTTGTCATCAGCCAAAAGTGATAACAAAGGAAAAATAGCAGAGGAAAAGGCTACCACTGCTGGCCATCTTTCATCAAATTTTTGCCACATAACCTTTATTGTTAACATCTTTTTGTCAATCCTGTCTTTGTTGTTGCTGGGGGAGGTGGCTTTGATTAGATCTTGTTATGTTTTGAATGTAGAATGCACTTGTGTGGTATGTGTATTTAATTTAAAGCATACAATATATTCTGCAGTGTTAACTCATTTGTTGTTCTCCCAAACTTACCAGCTTCGTTCAGTTGAAGAGACCACTCAAGCTATGGCTTTTGATGGAATTATTTTAGAGGTACAGTTCAGAAAGTGTTGTAGTTTGGTCTTAGCAAATCTAATGTCAATGAACACGAGTGGAAAGAATTTGACTACTGTAACTATTAATTTAATGGTTACTTTAAAGGGAAGATAAAAATCACTCTATTTCCTCAAATAAGTGCCCATCCCTTAGGCCATAACATCAAACAAGCACTCCTCTCAAATAAGCACCCCCCTTCTTCCCTCACTTTCCTTTTTTTATCAGCACTCCATTTACATTTTTTTAGCTTCAATTACAGTGGAATCAGGTTAATAGTTTCTTAATGAGAACCCCCTCAATTGAGTGCCGTTCTTTCAATAAGCACCTGGGGCTTATTCAAAGAAAAAAAGAGTTTCATTTATTAAGAAAGACTATCTTGTTACACTGTACCTGTAGTTTACAGAATCAATAATATTTTAGTATATTTGACATTTTGTTTGATTGTTATATTTTAGGGCCAATCATTGAAAATTAGAAGGCCTAAGGATTACCAACCTATTCCAGGAATGTCAGGTACTGTGGTCATATGTTTATTTTTCTTTTTAATTTGCATGTTTGTGTCTGTACAGTTTAAGTCTTATTTTCTTTAATCAAGTTTTCTCCTGTGTTTGACCTTTTAATTACTTAAACTTATAATGCAGACACAACAAAGGGGCTAGCACAAGAGTGGTTAAAGACATGCTAAAGCACAAGAGAAAACATTGTTTTCTTAATGCTGGTTTGTGGTGTGTGTGTTTAAATGTACTTGCACATGTCTAGCAAGCTAGCGAGAGCAGCCAATTGTTGCTTGCTTCACTGATGAAGAGCATGCTTTTGGCAGCTTTCTATACATGAAACCAGCCATTAAGAAGATCACTCATCCAGAGAGCTTGAAGCATACTTGTTATAGTTCCAATTTTTTGCAGGCATACTTGTATGTACAATTCAGGATGTTAATCTTTTGCTCATATTTTAATGGTTAATATTCTCTGTTTCTTCAAGCAAGTACAGCATTTCCAGATGCTGACACCCAATTTTTAATTCTACAGAAACAGCCACAATTCACGTGCCAGGTGTTGTTTCAACTGTTGTGCCTGACTCTCCACACAAGATTTTCATCGGAGGTTTGCCAAACTACCTTAATGAAGATCAGGTAAGATGTATGGGATGCATAGGAACTAAGTTGCAAGGGAGTGGAAGTGTGTTGACAAAATTGTCGAAATGATAGGCATTATAACTGAATAAAGGTTACAAAATCTTGTGAAGGTTCTCTGTCAATTAGACTCAGCTGAAGTGCAAAAAATTTGATTGGGATCCATTAGAAAAATTTTTACCGTGCAGCCGTGTCATCTTGATACATTTGATGCCACACTGCAATGGCTTAAATGTGTCAACTCTCTGCCCTTAGAATGCAGGATTCTTCAAGAATGAAAAAGAAAAAAAAAACTTTGGTAGAATATTTGGCAGCTCCAAAAAGGAAGCAAATTAACTCCTAAAGACAAGAAAATTTCTCTCATTGGCAGGAATATCATAGCAACGAACTAATGCCAAAATTCTACTTTTGTTTTTTCAGCAATTGTGTTTCAGCCTTTCTATTTTTTTTTTAGATCAACAATTGTGAACCATCTTCGGCTTACGAAAGACTCCACTCGCAACACACTTCTTTTTCAGCAATTTCTTTTTTTAGATGCTGTGTTCATGTAGACAAGACATGAATAGATTTTCAATCAGAATAGCAATTATGACCAGTCTTTGTTTAATTTGCAGCAGAATAAATCTAAGATCAGATCTGGTAACAGACATGAATAATGACTGATCAAAACAATGCTTTTAGGCTACAAGAGAATTTAAATTAAGAGTTAATAAGTGGAATGAGAGACGCATTTGTCTTCCTATACTATCATCTGTCATCTCAAGAGTAGTGGTCATGTTAGGGTAGAACCAAAGTTGTGTTCCAACGACAACCTTCATTGTAGATCTTGTAAATACATGTACATCCCTTTCTTAGCATACCGCACTTAGTTGTAGGTCTCAGGAATTCAAGTTTAAAAGGTGTTCTATACTTCTGTGGCTCTCTCCAAGTACTTGTGAGTCAGGAAATGATACTGTGGCTTCTGATGATGGGTTGCATGCCTTTGTGTGATCAATGTCAGAAGCTTCTTCCTCTGATAAGAACTTGGAAGAGCTTCAGTTTTTCAATATCCAAAGTCAGCTCCCTGGTGTAGCTTTCACTTTAATTCCCCAGGAGTAGGTGGTTTTTGAATTTAAATCAGTTTTAAATGAAGAGACACTGACATTTTACGCTTTTATTTCCCCCTCATTTGATCCCTAGCTTAGGGGGGCCTAAATTGGTCATCAAAACTGGCTAAAGGCAAGTTCTTCTGCATCAATTGTGTGGAAGGAGGGATTGATGGAGAGTGATGTATGCACTGCGGATGTGTCTTTAAAATCACTTAGGCGGGAATGAGACACCTACAGCTGTAAACTGTGGAGCATGAAACAAATTGAAAGAATTTGGTTTTTTTTATCATTTGATATTAAAATTTGGCGACAGAAAAAGCTGACAGAGGTGTCTTAAGACTGTCTACCTTAAAGTGGCTTTGAAGTTGAAGGGTTGTTCTTTGTTGCAGAGCACATGCAATTTAGAACGATTTGATAAGCATTGAAGCACTGGCATTTTCCACAAGTGTTCCAATTGTGTCAAATTTTATCCATGTTCTCTTGAACTGTTCGGTTCTGATGTGACTCAAATTTAATGGTGATGTTGAAGTGCCAAGAAAGTGCACAGTACAGTGTATATGGAGTACTTGTGTAGCATAGCAGCAACTAATGCAGCATCCAAAGTTTCAATTCCAAAGCTTCCCTGTCAAATCAAAGCCATTTTCAACTTTGTTGCTGTCTTATTGACTGAAATTTCATCTTGTTACACCACAATTTAGCACCTTGCTTCTTGTGCATCTTGATATGAGTTTCAAACAAAAGCTTGAAGTATGGTGTTACGTTTGGGTGTGTATGATGTCTTAGAAGTTGTCATGATGCAAGGTAGTCTGACCAGACAGTGCTCCATGTAAGAAGCAAACAGATTTCCCGCCCCTCAAAAAAAAAATGAAAAAACAAATGAATAAACACAATGTACACAGTTTTAGCTTCTACTGGTCTGACTGCCTTGATATCCACTACTATGTGGTTTAGTAAAACATTTTTATATTTTTTTAACCAAAGTTGCGACCATCTCCCTTCTTTCTGCAGGTTAAGGAGCTGTTGGCATCATTTGGTGAGCTCAAAGCCTTTAATCTTGTAAAAGACAGTGCAACAGGCCTCTCAAAGGGTTATGCTTTCTGTGAATATGTGGATCTGAACATTACAGATGTGGTAAGTGGCTTGTAGTACTGTACATTGACTGATACTTTGGATATGGTAGAGAAATGATGGCAGTGCCCAACTTTGTCGACTCTGAATTGTTTTGTTGTACGTTTAAAATTCATGAACTGTTTCTTTCAATGCAGGCTATCACTGGACTCAATGGTATGCAGCTTGGAGAGAAGAAGTTAATTGTTCAGAGAGCAAGTGTGGGAGCCAAGACCAACATGAATAATGTAAGGAGGGAGATAGAGTAGGAGTGAAGAACTAGCTGACTGACAGACAGATGGATTAATCAACTGAATCACTTTGAATCAAATGGTCCAATTTTTTTTTTTTTACCTTTTTTATCCTCCAGCCTGATGCAATAAACATGATTCCAGCCCAGATGCAAATACCTGGTCTTGACCTGTCAGCCAATCTACACAACAGTGCTACAGAAGTTCTGTGTCTAATGAACATGTTGGACATAGAAGAACTCATGGATGACGAGGAATATGAAGGTAACAAAAATGTTAAAAGAGGAAGATCCCTTATCAAAGTTATGTTGATAGAACGTCAAATTCTCATAGTAACTATCAGGGGGCAGAGAATTATATTTTCATCTCGTCACATGCGCGGAAAGCAAAGTTCTGAGCACCCACGAGGAATCGAATCTCAGAGCTTCGGATTCGGTGCTGCGATACTGTGCCGCTGCGCCACTGAGTCTTAACGGTGTTCTGGGTCAGGTGGTAAATTTTTTAACTTGGTAATTAATTTCCATCAAAGGATATCCACTGTGACAGTAAGGAGGGGTCCCATGTTCAATTTAATACCATTGATTATGTTCTGTGCGGTAGAAAGCTCTGTGTAGTTCAAAAAAGAATGAAAAACCTGGCAGATTTTTTTGCATGTTCAAATTCCATAATGCTTACCGATGAAAGATTTTTCGTTTATGGCAGAAATGGTTAAATGGTCTCTCTTTTGTTTTATCATCCAGAAATTTACGAAGATGTTCGCGCAGAATGTTCAAAGTATGGCACAGTCGTCAGCCTTGAAATACCAAGACCTGTGGAAGGTTTTGAACCACCTGGCTGTGGGAAGGTAATTACTTGTAGCATGACGTACCTTTTCGATTGGCCAGTTTATCCGTAATGGTTACAACCCGAGATGGTCTTAATGTACGTCACCTTCGTCCTGTTATCAAATGACGTTTTCACAGCTTTTCTGCGTAATGGTCTGTGGGCTTTTTTCCCCTTCTCCTTAACCTTAACCTTAACTGTAATATTCATATTCTCTTCTCTGTCCTCTTTATATTTCTTATGAGACTGACAAGGAGAATTTGTTTGACAATCAGGAGTTTGTTGAATTGGTGATCGTTTCCTTTATTCGCAAGGATCAACATTTGATTCAGTGATACTGTAAAGAGAAAGTGGAAGCCAGTCGCTTTTAGGGGATGAAAGGTCCATGTTTTTGTTAGGGGATATACATATTTTTTTTCATGGTTAAGTTGCTTCACACTCTCCTCCCGTTCCTGCCAGCACCCAAGAGTTCAATCCTGCAAAGCGCCCGTTAGAAATTTGTAACTGACGGACATTTCATTTGAAGAAAGGCCGGGAACGCTAAATCTTACATGAGTGGTCCCCTTTTGCGTTGGTGGGGTAAGGTAGAAACGTCCGTTAGATCATGAGAGATAGAGAATAACCAAGCACAAGTAATGTAAAGTGCAAGATTGAAGAGGTAGTTATTTTAGTCTCTCCTATAGCTGTAGGTGTGGAAGGGTTAATATTGGTAACTTCCTGCCTCAAATAAGACTGACTGAGTTTATTCTCTTTCAGATATTTGTGGAATTCGGGTCATCAGACGATTCTAAGAGCGCTGCCCAGGCCCTGGCCGGCCGCAAGTTTGCTAACCGAGTGGTGGTGACGTCATTCTACGCTCCAGAAATGTATCATAGGAAGGAGTTCCATTAGTTGATGACGTCATACTGCCGTATAAAGCTGAACCGATAGTTCGACACCCTGTCCCTTTGATAATATGAAGTCTTTTTGTTTTACAACTCTTGTTTTAGAGTGCTTTTCGATCAAGCTTCTTAGAGCCAAAGACCAAACTACAACAGCCTATCCGAAAATGAGAAATATCGAGTTGTAGCGGGTTTTAGTTTTACATCTGATCGATGTGCATTTAGGAACACATTTGTTTGCTTAAGTTTGAAGAGAATAATACAACACTTTCAAGAAAGAGAAAAGTTCAAGGCTGAGAAGTTGAACTTCGACAGATGCAATTTTGTATAGGAATGCGATCGATGGCTTTTTAAAAAAAAAAAATCCTTGCAGTTCAATCGGCTAAGTATAATTAACAGATTAACTGTGAAGCTAGAGTTCGAAAAGTGCTATTGACTTTCACCAAGTGAGTTACGTTTTTCTTTAGAAAGCGCTATCTTCTAGTTTCTTTTGCAGACGTTTTCTTTATAATTTAATGGCCACCCCCGTGAAGTTTTTATAACTGACATCTACTGAAGCTCAGCAAGAAGCAGCGAAACCTAAGCAAGCGGATGGTTCATATGTTCCTGAAGCATGTTACGATGTGTCGTATGATCATGTTTTTAACTCGTATGCTGATTTGTTGATGTGCTTGGAAATACAACATCACAAAAGTGTTTTCCTTTGTTCTAATCTGCTCCTTTATATTAACTGTGAAGGTGGTCTTGATAGAGCCTGCCTGTTGGTTATGGGTGGGTGACTGAATGACTGATGTTGAGAACGCTATCACCAACCCTGAATTTTCAAAGTCGTCGTTTTGTAGTTCTTGTCTTAAACTCGGTTACCTTCATGACGGTGTCGATATCTTATTACTGCTGTAGTTATCTACAAGTGAATTGTGCGATAGTAGTCCGTTGCAAGTGACCTCCCTCCCCCCACCCCATTCCCCAGGTTTTGTCTACAACCCAGAATTCATTCCTTTCCACTTAGACCCCTTGTTGAGGAGAGGTCCGTGAGAGTCAAGCTAGATCTTACATTTGGTCGCAGTTTGAGCACATTCCTGTCGTTCTCGAGCCCAGTTCCCTTATCGCAACACCCAACATTTCTTAACTGTTATCATGAAAACTCCACTATGAAGCTTATGTAGTTTAACAAGTCTGTCATTATTAAACCTAAATACCCGTCTGTGCATTGTAAGATATAAACAACCAGTATGTTTTGAGATAACTCTCGTACAAACACTCCAAGAAAGCCGCAAAGGTGCGTGAAGTAAGGTTTCCGGTGAATATTAATTACTAGAAAACCCGTTGCTGAAAAGCAATCCTTTAAAATCTCCTCAAGTTTCGAAAGAAACAAGGAACCGTTCGGTCCCAGGTGCGTGATAATTCAGTTGCTATCAAACTGAACGGTTGGTGACGGTTTCACAGATCAAGTCGTGAAGAAATTGAATTGATTACACTTTGAATCAATGAAACATGAAAAACAATTGCAAGACAAATTCCAATTATCCCGCCTTCAGATAGTTTATTTCTGAGAGACTTAGATTCTTACTTGTTCTCGTTTTATTCATGGAGGGCTAAACGATAGTTTTAAGGTAAGGTTAGTATATTTTTTTTCTAATTTAATTTTAGGGTTAGTTTATTTCACTTCAAAAGTCTTATTCTTCTGAACGTCTTAACGTTTGGAAGTCGCGCCAATCAAAAAGTATAATCTTTCCGTTCACATAAATTTTCTCATCTGCAGCAAACTGAAAATGACACCGTGTCATCAATCTTTTCATCAAAAGATGAAAAAATTGTGAATCACAAAGTTATGAATTGGGTTTTAATATGGTTTTAACCCCTACGAGACTGTCACCAAGGTTCATCTTTTGCTCCCCGATTGTCAACTATGGAAACCGGTTGGCACAAAATTCTGCCAAAGATATGGGTTTCCCTAGCGTAGGTTCACAGTTGTCACCTTTAGTTCGTTCATATTGTATTTGTCGTTGAAGTTACGGCAAATATTTGACATTGCTCACCTGAAGAGAGTGACAACCTGTAGTTGATGTTTATGTAAACCTGTGGAAAGAACTGTTTGATAATTGAAAACATGATAATTTTTTTTTGCGAGTTGCTGATGCGTCAATTGCCACCAATTCGAGATTTAATCGCAGAATACTTCGGGAGCCAAGGAAATACAAGAAAATTCTCTTCCTAAGTTATTGCATCAGCAACTCGCACTCCATTTGATGTTTTCAATTACTAAGGAGTACTTTACTAAGTTTACATATCTTCGACAAATTATCACTTGCCACAGGTGAGCAACCTCAAATATTTGTTATAATTTTAACGAAAACAACAGGTGATAGCCGATTAAGACGACTTGGATGCTTTCTTCGTGCATTTCCTAAGGGCGGAGCACAAATGTGTTTCTTCCCAGAAAGACCAACACGACTCTTGATAAAATTTTAGACTTGTCGTGGCGTCGCATTCCTATTTCACGGCCTATTCGAAGGGGTGCGCTTTCGTTTCGGGTGAAACCAATTTTTTTTTTCTTATCAGTATTAGAATGTCCTGATTTCAGAACCACACTGCTTGACCAAAGTTAAAACAATGACTATCACAGATGAAATTAATATGACCCCATGTTGCGGCGACATTACTGATTTTCCATAACCGATACAATGGCAAATTTGAAGGCAGACTCGCTCAGAAGAGCCTCAGACATAAAGAAGAATGCACCAAAACTGGCCGACTGAGCTTCGTGAAAACTCGCCTTGGTAAAATTTCCGCACAGCCAACACAAATCTGTTTTCCTAATGGCAATGTCTTGTTTTTGTCATTATTTTTTCTATCCAAGAACTGAATGCAAAATGTAGATTAAGGCTGTGCGGAAATTTTACCCTCGCCTTTTCAGGAGTACCGAATTCAACTTTGGCGCGCATATTGTTGAGAATTAAAGATCTGCTCACATTTTCGCTAATTAGAATGCACAACATCCCGTTAAAAGCATTTAAGACCCCTTTGTCAGTTTCATTGCTCCGCTCCTGACGAATAAATGGGAAAAGGCAGAAGAATCCACTGAAAAGAAAGGCGTTGGTTATATCGTCCACTGAAAACCAACTATTTACGCTTCGCTGCTTATATTTCAAATCTTTAATTGTCTTACCTCTGCACTTAAAATTTGTAAAACAGTAGGCATTCTGCCTATTGATTAAGAGAAGCTCAAACGTGTTTGGTAAAGAAACCTCCAAAGGGAATTTAACCCTTGGTGCTTGGGACGTTACCCCAAAAATAATAATTATCACTACCTTGTTCGCGGCGACTTGGTAAAACCAAAGCCCCACTTAGGTCTATTGTCGTTAACGAGGTTTACACAAAGTGATGACAGAAAAAAAAAATGCCATTCTTCTTTGTAGACACAGCCATCGATTAATTTGCATGTAGATGATAGCCTAAATATAAACTAGAAGCGTCTGCTGTTTAGGGGCCAATGAATAGGAGTAAGAGGGTCTCTCGTTAAAAAAGACTCCCTTTTTTTCAGTCCCAATAGCCTATGACATGGAAAATAATTGGTTCATTTTAGTGGCTTCGTTTATAATCTTCTTATCACCTTTCAGGTAAGATTAATTGTTTACAAGATATCTTTAGTGATGAGTATAAGTAATCAGATGATTTCGAGCGCTATTATGGCATAAATCAGCGCGTATAAATTTTTGAAAGGCCCAATAATTTCAATACTTTCGTCAAAGCCGTTTTTGGAGGCCTAAGACTTTAAGACAGTTGTTTGTGCTTTGTTGGATGCTTTTGTTCTTGAGTATTTTTCTTCAAACTCTGAATTAAAACGTTGTTGCTTCTTCCTAACCTGTGCACCATTTCGCTAGGTTATGCTTGGCGACTTTCCTACCAATTTCAATATTTTGCACAGAATTCCAAATTCTTGTACTAAATTTCAACTCTTTGCACTAAATTTACACTTTTTGCACTCAAGATCAAGATTTCACAGTTTTTGGGATTAACTGACGTGTTGTCAGCCTTTGAGTTTTCTAACGTTTTTGCATGCATTTAAGTAAAAAGAAAAATTAAACTCTTCTCAGGCCCTTAAAACAACAATTATGATAGATACGAATTTCATCAAACTAAAGTTACCAAATTTTAAATTAGTAATGAAGTGTTAGTGACATCTCTCTCTTGTCAGAGCTGTTTTAAATGAATCAAAGAGAACTCTTCCTTAGAGTGAAAATAATTCTAATTACAAAAATGCTCTTTAAATTTAACAAATTGGTTCACACGTCAGCGTGCGTTCATCGAGATATGAAGCACGCGGGAAGTTTGGAGAGCACAAAAGTTGCGTAAGAGTTGCTCGAGGCGTAGCCGAGAGCGACGCTAGCTTCTTGAAAAATAGTATTATAATCTTTTTATAACATTTTCAATTCTTTTTTCTCAGAGGGATTTGTTTGCTGACGTCATGAGCGTGCACAATAGGAATATGAAGCACGCTCACGTAATTGAATTTGACAAGAAAAACTGGATCAATATCAGTATCTGGGCAGCGGCCCACCTACTCCTCCCCTAACCCAACATTAACCTTAACTCGTTGTGAATTGACTGTTTGAGTTAGGGGAGGGGTAAGTGGGCAGTTGCCCAGATACAGATATTGATCCGACAAATTTACTAGCTATGTTATAAATCTTGTTGATCCATCAGTTTATTGACTCATACACTGTTCATTATTTTTAATCCATGAAAAAGTGAAGTATTGTGTTCATCTAAGATTTCGTCTTTGTTGGCAGACGAAAAGACGAACTAAAAACGTCTAATCTTTTGGACTAGTTCGTCCATTTCAATTTGGTTATCAGTTTGCTTCCGGTCAGTAACCCTTCAGCTCTAATTTCTTTAAATTAGAATGAAACAATCACGTCTCCCCGCTCTTCAGAAAAAGCAATCAATTATGCATATTTTTATCAAATTTACTTACACGTATAAGGTTTAATTTCACAGGAATAAGTAAGTGTCGCTAGCGAAGAATTTGAAAAACATTTACGAATTCTTCTTGTCTAAAAAAAAAACAAATGTAGAAACCTATAGATATCTAGGCAACCGCTATCTTTCTTGTGGAATTTAATTTTCATTTTACTTTTTGAAAAGATAGGCAAAATGGTATTAACTGTTTTCATATCACGGATAAAAAATATAGAGAGGTAAAAGAAAAGGATCATATAAATTGACATCATCACTGAACTGATTTACTTACAAAAAGTGAAATTTATATCAACCGTGATGATTACCATGGAGACGTGAAGGTATGACCGTTGGCGTTTCACCCGGGTGATGTCTTTTAGCCGCTTGCGGGTAGTGGTTAACTTCTTTCCGTTAGAGTAAAGAGAAAAAATTTTATGTTTAGTATTTTTTACCACTAACGGCTCAAAAATTGTCTATACTAACCCCTAAAGTCTAAATTTTTTCGCCGTTTTATGGCTGATGGTTAACCCCACTGAGAACCTTATTAATGCGAGATTGTTATCGAACATGAAAACACGTCGGATAAGTACATTTCTTGTCCAAAACGTCTTCGTAAAAAGTCTTCGACGGGCATATCGGAAAAAAATTATTTTTCAATTAATTTTAGAACTTAAGTTTGTGTCCGTCCACGTTGGAAAGACTAATGCGTCATTTTCAGTGACTATCAAAAAGTGAGTGTGTTTCGGGACGCATAATGACAGGTCAGTGATGCAGGCCGAGCAGGGGCATAAGTTTCCTTTCCACTGATGAAAAGTCACTCATTTGGAACAATCAAAAGAGTTTCACTCTAAAATCGTTAAACTTTAGAGGGCCGGAATTGTTCTACATGTCCTTTTAAAATGAATGGTTAACTTTTATCGTAACTTCAAGGTCGCCCTTTAACATTGACCTTGCATATGTTGGCGTTAGCCATAAACTGATATTTTTGCAATTTATTTCCGATGGTGTACGAGCCAAAATCAGTGAATCAGCCCAAGTTGTGTGAGAGAGAAAATTGGGGGTGTATTCAGTGATCTGAAAAGTTTTAATTGCCAAAAAAAAAAAAAAAAAAAAAGGGGAAAGGACTCAAACCGAAGAAAAACGTGAAAAAGTAGGCATCTAAAACTTGCACGCATTGAAGCTCACGAAATCAAATATCAGCTGTACGTGGTGTACTTTTCTGTCCTTTGTAATATCTAGCTCACGCACCGTTAGGTGTTAGGGTTGGACATTCCCTAAATTCTAACCTCAAGTGGTCAAGAAAAACCAAACAGAACGTGATCTACATTCGTATTGGTGGAACGGAGATAAAGCCTTTGAAATTATTTCGGTTGACGCCTTTCGCTGAAACTGACTGTTCACAGTGCTTTGAACAGTGTGCGACAGTACCTCTCTCCTGAGTTGGGTTGAAATGAAGCTTTTAGTTACCATTATTCCCTTGTTCGTAGGTCTATCGACATTTTCACGGTAAGCTTTCGCTTTAATTTATTTATCAAGATAAAAACAACAGTGCGATTAATGTGTCCTCGTTGTTGTAATAATACCTTTTCTGTCGTAAAGAAACACTCTAACGGTTGTAAGCTTATCATCTTGTATAAAAAGTATACAGGTCATGCGTGAGAAATTTAAAATTTAGTGCGCCACTTGCCCTAACACACAAAGTAGTTGAAAGGCGTGGAGAAGCCGAGCTCAATTTCGCAACGGAATGAGTGCTTTGGTTTGTTATAACTAGGGGCACTGTATTCTTCCTACTTCCTATGCATTCATATTTTTGTTTATTCAATTATTTGCGCATAAGCCAAGTTCTGAATCACAGCTGGATTACTATTGATCCTGACCGAGCTAAGAAAACGATGCGCATCTATCTGCATCCTAGTGAGATATCACCGCTAAGGTCGAGAAAGAGAGCTGCATGGGATCAGTTTGTATTGTAATGGAAATTATCAGCACTTTGGAGTAGTCACTCTATCAAAAGATAAACTGTAAGGAAATGAATTGAAAGCTGCCAGATCAAAAATCGCCTTTTATGGTTTAAGTATGGATTGTGCTTTTTTTGGCCACTAAAGCCACGCTGTCATGAAGCAATGATCATTATATTTGAATAAGTCACCTTCGCGCTCTAAACTATGGAAAATAACTGACACGACTCTTATCTGTTGCGTAATTTTTACGCACGATAGGTTTCAGCTCAAAAGACGCTTTCGTTCCATATCAATAAACTTGATTTATGTATTGTGTGCATGTATTCCGCGACAACAAACACACGAATACTATTTAAGGTCAAAGTGGCTCAAAATGGTTTCATTTTCCTCAGAACCAGGTCTTTGATGGTTCGAATTCGTGGTTACTATTTTAAAACTGATCTTTAGATGTGCAAAAGTTTACAAATGTGACCTTTCGCCCCATCAGTCGGTTGGTAGTCAGTAAAGGGCGTGTTCGCTCATCTGGAAAAATACGAGTTTATCGGACCAAAACTGTAGAACGGTATGTAGCATCGATGTTATGTCGGCACACTGGATTTTAAGCATAATAATGAAGCAGAAGAATCGAGTATTACACTGGAATAATAACGCAAAATAAATTATTAAACAAACAATAACTTAAAGAAACCATTACATTGATTGTACTTATTTTTATGTTAATTAAAATGGAGCCTAACGGTGATGGTATTTGAATTTTAGAGTGACATTTTCTGAGCACAAAGAATTAGCATAATAATGTAAAACATGGAGCCTAACTGAACAAATCTAATCAACACCCTTCTGTTAATCTGCGCTCGTAGGAAAGCTTTGAGAAAATTAAAAAAAGTAAGAAAGCGTTCCATTTGATTGAAGTAAAGTGAGAGAATTGGAATTCGACCGTCAAGCTCCAAAACAAGAGTACACCACAACGATGATTTTTTTTTTTGGCCGAAGATCATTGGTTTTTATTCCAATATCGGAAGCAATACTTAGAAAGTGAACAATACAGTACTAATACAATTTACGTTAAAATACTTATAGTACTATTAATAAAAATACGTTGCTTAAATTTTTAATAAGGGAGAGTTTCAAAAACAACAACAAAACACATTAACACCAGTAATGTAAAGTAAATATAATTGTCAACAAGCTAGGTTAAAAATTACGATACATGCTGGAAACAAAGTTCTTCGTGCCTACACCGAGAGTAAAAAAAAATCATGCGTTGTCATATCTGGTGGTTTCAACCAGATGCTGGTTTTTCCTATTGAATCGAATGGTGTCGTTTTTAGAAAAAAAAAGTCACCTTATCAGCTTTTGATCGTGAGTGTACACTGTCTCAAGTGAGAGAGAACCAAGAAGGCATACAGAATTAAATGACTTGTCCAGGAGCCCATTGTGGGCTCCTGCTTGTCTTATTAACCGACTGGCGGGGATTTCGGCCGTGTCACAATAATATTTACCTGATCCCTCCATCAGGCTCTGTAGTATTCTAAATTCTGTTAGCGACGATTCATCCTCCCTCCGTTCCCCCTGAAGACCAACTGCCCCCCCGAAAAAATTCTCCAAACACCCCACCGCCTCCTAAGGCCGATATTGAATTTTTATCAGACCCTAACATCCATTCTGAATGATTTTTGCTTTGCTTTTGGTTTAAGGTTTGCCTCGGCTGTCGACTGTGAGGTGTCCTTACCTCAACACGCCTCCCCTGAGTGTGCAGCCATCAGAAATGCTACTCTAGACAAACTCAAAGAAACTTATACCATGAAACCAAGTCAATACGGCTTTGTGCTGTTGAACATGACCATTTCTGAGCTGGGAGCTGTCGCCCTAAAGGATCCATTTATCAGTTACTACGTCAGAGCATACGTGGGAATGACCCAGACAAATAACCGGATTTTAGCGAAGTACAATAACGCAACTGCAGGACAAGAAATAACTGGATTGTCGGACTATCTCGAGATGTCAGAGTTTTTCCAGACAGTTCTAGAGCCAATACTTGGGGTAAATATAATTTTCTTCCCTGTTTATGATGTAAAGGTGTTTTGAGACCTGCTAGAGGGCTCCACGATTGGACAGCACAGCCATTGACAAAGCCCTCCTTACTAAAACTTTCTTCAGGAGTTCTTCACCTCGATAAAAATTTCACACGTGCAAAACAAAAAACAAATCCTGAGGTAAAAGGTTCAAACTTCTTCGTTCCCGTACACGGGAATTTCCCTCTACATAGCGTAGCTTTGTTCGGGTTGTTCCACTGAGCTCCCATGTTGAAGTTAGGGGGACTTCCAAGATGAATCCTGAGCGAGAGGAACAATCTTTTTTACTGTGGTCTTCGTTGCTGAGTTCCAGATGATGTCTCTTTTTCAGTTCTCGTTTCTATTCTTCAGGTATTCTCTAGATTTTCTAGAATTTTCCACCATCCTTCCACCTTGTGAGCTCCACCTCCAGGCTTGTTTTCACAGTAGCTGGTCTTACCAGTGGCCTTTTCTCGTAGCATTCGACCCACTAAGTCCATTCCTGTAAGGTTGTCATCTGATTCCAGTCAATAAACAAATTAATTAATTATTTTTTTGCCTCTAGGAATATATGAGGTCGGCTTCAAGGCACGAAGCATTTATCGACGACAAAACCCAATGGATTAGCGATAAATTTTTCGCTCAGCAGCGCTTAGCAGGGAATAACCCGTTGGCAATCAGACGGGTAACCATGAAAGGTCAGTAAGGTAGAACTCATTTTTAATGCACGGCAAGAGATTATCAACCGACCTATAATTTCTTGTATAGGGTCAAGTCTGTACTGAAACTAAATGACCCACCCAGAGAAACGCCATGGCCCAATGAATACTGCGCAGGACGCCGGGTCGAGTCCTGGCTTTGTCAATGAGTATTGTTCTTGGAAAATATATTTGACGCTCACATTGCCTCTCTCCACCCAGGAGTGTAAAAGGGCACCGGCGAATTGTCAGTATGACCGACAAAATTGTGACAAACGTATGCCCGGGGCAGGTGACAGTGGGATCATTGTAGTGTATTATGGGCCTCCAGATCAGCTGAATGACATATTAACACAAATGAGTACGTAGTGACAGACGGATGGACAGCGACACTGAACTGCCTACTGATAGTCTTAGGCTGCGTAACTGACAAACTGATGTAGTATATATATACATATAGTAATACTGACTGTTTGCCCTGCCTTAGAGATAAAGACAATTTTTAATGTATGCAACTTAGGATGTGCAGCAAAGACAATTCAAGGGGCGTGTTGCCGTTTCCCGTTTAAATATCGTGGTAAAGTTTATCGTCAGTGTACGAGGGTAGGAAGCCACAGGCCTTGGTGTTTTACGGCGGCAAAGAAATGGGGAAAGAGACTGAAATGGGGATATTGTGCAGGTAGAATGAAACTTACTCTGATAATTCGTTCATTAATTGTCTTAAATCATATTTCACTTTGTTGTCTTCCATTAACTCATGCGTTTATTTTTCTTTTGATTGATTTTTCATCTTTTGATGAAAAATTAAAACTGATCCTACACTTAACATACTTCAACTAAGAATGCATGCTCATGATTTCACAACAGCAACACTTAGCGTTGCACCTAATGATATTTCTACGAGTTGTTACAGAGGTGCCAGAGCAAAAGAATGAATATGACTAAATGGTAAAGTTTCATACCCAATATACGACACAAACATAGAAACCCATGTTTAGCGCCAATCTCTTACCCAGATCGTACCGTGTAATTGTAACTGCTTGGCCGTGAAAGGTCTTGGTATGAGACTAGTTCAGTCCTTAAAGCGGACACAATTTTACCATAAAGCCCACAAAACCCATTTTGTTGTAGTTCTCGACGTTTTAATTTTTAAGTTAACATGATCACCACACTTCTTTCTCAGAACAAGAACCAGAAATATCAGGACTGGATTTCGGTATATTGAAGAAGACAATGAACCTTGACTTTGACTGGGATGGTGCCGTCAGAGCGGCTTTGGGAACTGGTGGTTCTTTGGAAGATGTATGTTCGCTTAATTTGTTAACTTCAGTGACAAAAGTCTGAGGTGTGAGTGTGCATAAAAATCTCCTCGCGGAAAAATGGTGTCTCTGAGCTTTTAACATCAGGTTTTTCATTTTGATTTGTCTTAGTCTTTAACTATGACAGGAAAGTCTAGGAACGTTTCAACTTATATGGCCTAATCCTTGTTTTTATTGTACTTTAGGCGATAAAGCAGGGTCGCATTTATGCTCTTCGTTACGAGTTGTGCGACGATTTGGGTCGAGCTCCTGACCTCACAGAAAGAGACCCTCAGAGGGAGATGTGGAATTTCCTTTCTCCCATCGCTTTTTTTGCATCAAAGACGGTTAGAGGAAAAAGGAATGAATTTGTACCTGTTGCTATACAAATGGACCACCCACCAGGTTAGCTACAATAGACGTTTTGGCAAATAATGAGACAAACACCATTGCATAAGAGTGACGACTGCACTCAGAAAAGTTACCACCAGTGGAAATTGTGGAGGAATTCCTGATACCTAACTGCACTATGTTCCTGCCTCTGTTACTCGTAATTTAGAGGCATGAGTTCCGTTACTGTAATCTTAAACCCTCAAGACTCACTTTAACGTTATTTATATCATCTTTGATAGATTCAGCGGTGTATACTCCAGCCGATGGAGACAACTGGTTACTCGCCAAGCTTAATGTTCAGATCACAGACATCGGATATGCTCAAATCACTGAACATCTTGCCAAGGTAAAATCAGCTGAACTGTTCATTTATTACTAGGAATTATTCATTTTTCGTGTAACAACAAGAGGAAAAAATATTAACACCCAATTTTCTATCGAATTTATTTGCAATTTGGCCGACAGATTTATGGTCCCTCTGAAAAAAACTACCCTCTTTTTTACCTTTTGTTCGCTTTTTTTCTTGAGGGCATATTCAAACCCTTAGCCTTCTATTGGTTATCGGATGCTGCGTACCTACTGCACTGGCCTTTACGTACAGCTCTTCTTAACAAAACGGCTGGTTATCAAAACACAAAAAGAAAATAATAGCAAAGAGGTAATATCGCATAAGAAGATCAATTCTATCCCTATTTTAAAAAACAAAACAAACCAGAACTAAACTGAATCAAAACAAAACCAGAGGTGTAGGGTTTGGATTATTATTGGGGAAAGTGATTTACTATCAGTTTCAAACCAGCCCTTTCTGTAATATGAAGTGTCATGTCGAGTAGTAGACATCCATAAATAAGTGAAGAATATCTTCTTCCAATCCTATAGATCCATTTCTTTGTGGAGCCCTTTTGTGTCTCTTTAAAACGTACCCTGCCGCCCATGCACCCGTTGAACCAAATGCTGAAGTATCATTGCCGAGAAGTGACCATCCCAAATACATTTGGAACACCTGTTCTTCTAGGCGATACTGGATTCGCAGCTTTGCTGTTTGCATATGGAAAAGAAGGGGCTTTAAAGCTTATTCGAGATGTACATCCATTGACATCATGGGAAATAACTGACTACAGGGAAAACATCAAGGTATTTTTTATCCCTCACGGTACCTAGCTTGAAATATACCAGAGGGTATCACCCTTGCGCTACATATCTAATACTTCTTTAGATTATCTACGTTTCTGTGGCGTAAAAGCATATTTTTACTTTCCCAACAAAAAAATACTTCGTCTGGAATATCTTAATGTGTCCTTTTCAGGCTTCTCCTGAAAAAGTATCCTAACTGTTTAAGGGTGTAGAATGGTCTTCTAGATACTTTTATAGAAGCGCATAGCCATTCAGATCTGAGGAACGATCCTACATTTTCATGTAAATTTACGAGAATTTGAACAAACAGAAAACTCTACACGACAATTCAAATATGCAGGACTTTCGAGCTAATCGTGCATAGGCAAAAATGATGAACACTTGAAAAGTTTAAGGGAGCATTCACCACTTCCCATTTGTATGTTATACAAGAAAGGATACTGAGAGTAATGGTGTTTGTCGAAACATTTTATACTAGACTGTGATATAGTATCACCAATGTATAGATTCTTCATACTGGTGGCCTCCTAATTTCAACTTGTTGAATTTTTAACTAAATTGTAAATTTATCTATGTTGTTGAGCGCACCTATATAATTCAGTTCTAATTTTGGGAGTTAACTTCAAGTATTTCAAAATTTCCTTACGGTAATCAATTAAGGTCATTTCAACCAAGCTAGTGTTGCTTTATTTTAACCAGAAACGTGGAATGTTCGATAAGAATCTTCTACCATACTATCCTTTCCGAGATGATGGTTTGGTGATCTTAAAAGTAATCGAAGATCTAGTGAGGAGTTACATTGACTTGTAAGTGAAACCGTAGATATACATTCGACTCGATATCTGTATAATCTGTTTATTCTGACTTGTATGATCTGGTTTGACAAAAATGAAAACAATAACAGTTGAATAAAGGAAACTAAACGAAACGAAACAATGCGAAATGAAATATTACCCACGAAATTTGTAAGCCTGAAGGAAAACTTGATCCACCAAACGCAAAACTCATGAGCACATGGTCTAGACCATAATACGCATATCTAACCCAGTACCGCGCGGGCAGAGCAAAACTAACTGAGATGTTTTGCAATCAACAGAAATTGTATGCTGCAATGTTCTAAATCCATGCTCTAAGGAGCATTGAGAGAATTTTCTTGTGAATAGGAAAACAAATGAAGGAAAAAAATGGGTAACCGTTCTGATAATGACGGCATACAATGGTTTCATTTTTTTTTTCTTTTGTGCCGATCGATCAAAGCTTTGTTTGACTTAGACGACACTTAGGAATAAAAGTTAAAAAAAAATGGGGAAGCACCAAACTGGTAGTACAAAAGCAAGAAGGAACAAAAACTGATGCCTGAGATGGAGGAGATTAAAAAGGATTCCAAATGAAGATTTTGTAAATTGATTGGTTCAACGTTTTTTTTCGTTGCACACCTCACGACGCAGCACTGTTAAGTTAACAATCTAGACTAGTGGCGATCAAAGCAGGGAATGAAAATCAAATTCAAATTTTGTGAATTTTTTCGTTTAGGTATTACAGAAGTGATCAAAACGTGAAGGAAGATGTGGAACTACAGGCGTACCTGAATGAGGTGTCACTGGATGGAACTGGACCGAATGGAGGAATTGGTCAGGTATATTAAAATGTGGGTTATGGAAAACCTCAGGTGTACCAAAACCATTGTTAGTCATACCCATCTGATGATGTATTGATGTCTTTATTGAAAACTTGTGCAGCATGATGCATGTACCCACAAGGTTCCTTATAGATTGTCACTTGGGGTTGGGTCAGTACAGATCAGTACAGGCAATGAGTTCGAAACAAAACCGAGGTGTAACAACAAACACAGGTTGTACGCTTGCTTGAGAAGAACGACCTAACGTAGCCTTAGGAACCAAACTGGCTGATCGCGAGTGACTTACGCTTCTTGAGTAAGCCACGTCACAATGTACACATCACAAAATTGATCAATCAGTTTTAAAAGACAAGAGTTGTAAACCGCCTCAACTTACAAAGAGCTTCTTATTTGATGCTGATGATGACTTTCGCCTTGGGATCAAACCGCTAGCCACAACTATAGATTAACGTCATTAACGTCAAGATCTGAACAAAAGATTTCTACATGAACTGTAAATCCACAAGGTTTCGTATAGTTTTAGATCACTGAAGAAATTTTTGGTCGAAGAAATACCATTGAGTGACAAAAAAGTGCTTGTTTGTCTGTTAGTCTTTATCTTTGATGTCTTCAACAAATAAGCCCATCAGAACGATCCATCCTTACTTATGAATCGAAAGTCACGAATTTATCCCACTTGAGTCTTGTGGCCAATTCAACCCTCCATGGCAAAATTGACCTATACTATAAGACCACGGGATCACAATTTTTTGTCTGTAATGCTACCTGAAATGTACGCCCTTTGCACATTCTATCATGTTGTAAGTTACCGCTAAGGCTGATGACATTTCGTTCTCTTCCTCGCAGATAAAAGGTTTACCACCAAGTGTTGATTCCAAAAGAGAGCTCTGTGAAATTCTAAGTCGTTTTATTTCCCACTTGACTATCTATCACGCGTCGGTCAATTACGTTACAACGGATTACCCAGAATACATCCCCAACCAACCAACTAAACTTTATAACGACTCCAGAGTGGAAGATGGACAATTCTCCTTTCTGCGACTGCCAAACAGAGCTGCAAGCGCAGTGAGTAAAAGTTTTGTTGGCTTTAGTTCCTCTGTTTATTTTATGGTTAGGAGTAAGATTAACATGACTAGGTCTACCATTTTTTCATGAAAATGAGCTTTAATTGGTCGTATCATTGGAAAGCTCCCACCACTCATCATCTCGCCTTACGTCTTTTATATACGATAAGATGGAATTTACTCTGAATCATGTTATTATTTCACCTCTTCGTCTGCTTATCAAAATTGCGATTCCTCAAGGAATAAACGATGTCAAATCATGATAGTGTCTTGCTTTTGCATCTGGCACAATCACCAAAAAAACTTGATAGAAACTGAAACTAAGAAGACTCTAGACAAGGAAGACACTGTAAAAAAATTGTTTTCACATCGTTACTAAACACTTTGGAGCTGCAAGTACAACAGCATTTCTTCCTTAACAAGGGTAGTAGTCAATTATAAAAGAGGGAATTTCTAAGTTGGGTAAAATTTAGCTTTAACTCTTTTAAACATCCTCAATTCATCCCTCTTAAGAAATATTTGGACCTCGATAAATTTATCCTTCACGAATATCTCCGTCACTTGTCGAGGAAGAAGTTGTGGTTTATTTCCATTTACACAGCTAAAAAAAACTTCCCTGCCTATGAAAGCTTGGCGGAGAACTCGCTTGTGTAAACACGACTGCAGTTATGCGTTTTGGACCCTGCTCGCTTGGTACTAATTGGTTTCTTTTTGCAGATCCAGTCAACTGCGTTCAATAGTCTGGGAAGTTTCCGTTTCGATTCTTTGTTTGACTACGGCAACGAGCTTGACGACACTAAGGCTGCGAACCTGGTCAATGCATACTACTGTCGACTAATGGACAAGGTTCAGCCTTATTTGCAAGCAAGAAACCGTCTGCGGGAGAAGAATGGCTACCTCGCATATCCGTATTTTATCCCAAAATGGCTGCCCAATGGCATTCAGACTTAATCGATTGTACTTGTAGGAGAGTGTAACTTTTGTTAGATTTGTGTATGTGTACATGGGTTGTTATTGGCGTAGGGTATATAATTATTAAATCTACGTGTTATTTTGGCGTTTCCGGCTTAGAATCATACTTTGCTGAAAGGTACTTAAACTTTGTCAACCATAGTTGGAGGAAAAAATTTGCTTTTACTAGTTTAGTGTGATTTTTGACGGTATGGTTACAAAAATTTTTTCGCCTTAAAACTAACGTGGGAAGGGCTGAAAAAGGTAGAATGAGGTGTGGGGCTACATTGAGGTTGTGTCTGTATTGCATTAGGTAAGTGAGGATATAAAAAAGGTTCAGATAACACACTGATTAAAAATAATTGTTGTTAATGATACCGGGAAACTACTGTTATGCCTTGGAAGGCAGATTAAACATTCCTCAGCTTGCTAACAATGACTCTTTGCTTGTGTAATGTTGAAAATTTGTCCTTTGAGAGAAAGCGCACCTTAAAAATTTCTCGTTGGTTTATTTTGCCCTTTTATTCCGAACGGCTGCAACATGTGCGTGACTGGTGCGTGACTGGTGCGTGACTGGTGCGTGACTGGTGCATGACTGGTGCGTGACTGGTGCCATTTCACATCAATCGTTGGCACATCAACTTTGTTTCAGTTCTTCTCAAAAGTCAGATCACATTCCATTTCTTTTATTTTGGGCAATGTCATAGTATTTCTACCGAGTAAGGAATGGGAAAGAGCTTCATAAATGACTCGTTCCAGATAAACTGTCTTCGAACGTTCCTAAATTTAACAAACAATTTGAATCATTGTTTCCACTGTTCAAGAATTTCAACGACTGTCTAGTTGAACATCAGTAATCCATGATTGGCTCTCACGAATGAACTGATTATGACCTGGACGTAATTCCGTTACTTTACATGTTGGTATCTGAAATGCTTGGAAAAGATTGTTAATACCAGCAGCGGTGATCTGATTATAACCCAGATCAAGTTTGGTGAGTTTACATGTTGGTGTTTGTAATACTTGACATAGACTGACAACACCGGCATCGGTGATCCGATTATGACTCAATTGTAGTGTGGTGAGTTTACACGTTGGTGTCTGCAATGCTTGACATAGACTGACAACACCAGCATCGGTGATCTGATTATGACACAGGTCAAGTGTGGTGACTTTACATGTTGGTGTCTGTAATGCTTGACATAGACTGACAACACCAACATCGGTGATCTGATTCTGACACAGGTCAAGTGTGGTGACTTTACATGTCGGTGTCTGTAATGCTTGACATAGACTGGCAACACCGGCATCGGTGATCTGATTAAGACCGAGATTCAGTGTGGTGACTTTGCATGTTGGTGTCTGTAGTGGTTGACATATACTGGCAACACCGACATCGGTGATCTGATTACGAAACAGATTCAGTGTGGCGACTTTACATGTTGGTGTCTTCAATGCTTGACATAGACTGACAACATCGGCATCGGTGATCAGCGCTTCTACCAGACCCAGTTCATTTAATTTAGATACTAGCAACGATTCCCCAAGTAAATTAACACATTTTTCCTGCAATACACAGTCATACAGGTACAGTTCGGTAACAGGGCTGTGCTTTTTCTCCAACGCCTTGTAGACTACTCTTAACCCAGTCTCTGAAAGATGACATTTCCAGAGCGTCAATGTTTTAGCCAGCGCCACAGACGACTGTTGAAGGGGTCCTTGTTTCTCCCCAGTGATTTTATCTGCATTCAATGTCCTAATGACATCTAACAAAAACGCTACAGCAGTGCAATCCGCACCGGCCAGCTTTTCAAATTCAATAACTCCATCACGATCACAAAATTGATGGAAACGTTCCTTTACAATTCTTTGGGCGAAATTCTTCTCTTGGTACTCCATGATGCGCTGCAGTTTTAGCAGTTTTGGCAGTTTTGGCAGTACTCCAACCCTAATGCTGTACATCCAATCGAGTCTTTCAAGTAACGCTCTCATAAAGAATTCGTCCTTTTGCTTTGATAAAATACCAGACATAAACTGAAATATCATTTCTGACACATTGTCTCTGTGTGAGGGGATCTGTTTTCTCTTCACAAACCAACGAGCTGCCAAATACTCTTGGAGAGTGAAATGTGTGAAACAAAAATATTTCGTCGTTTCAGTGTAAGATTTTCTGAAAGGAGGACCACAGTGAAGAAGACCGTTGGCTCTTAGGCTTTTAACTTCTTCTAAAGTAAACCTTTTCATATCTTTTAAAGCGAAAATAAACTTCCTCTCTTGAAGCAAATGAGCCGCAAACTCTGACATTTTGTCCAGAGTATCTTCGGAAGAGACTGCGGACTCCTTATCATGTTTTCCTAGAAACATGTTCACAACCTCAAAATAGATTTCACTTGTGTTGACCGGGAGGACGTCAGTGTTTACTGGTTCATTTAGGAGGTATTCAAAATAAGAGCACATCAAAAAACAGACAACTGGAATGTGGGCGAAGCTGACAAGATTGTCATTCTTTGTAATGTGATCCATTACAGCATTCTTCATGACTTCCTTTTCGTTGAAATACTTCTCTACGTATTTCTTCACCTGTTCTTCGGTAAATCCTGTAATTTCAACGTACCGATCAAAGCCAATTCTACTTGTCATTTCATCAGATTCATCGGGCCTTGAAGTTATCATGACAACGGAATCTCTCAAGAGTTTTCCTTTGATCAGCTTGGCACACAGGGCTGCTACTGGCATTTCCTCATGAGCGCTATTCGGGTAACGGTCATCCCAATCACTCTCGATGAAATTTCTCTTCGAATACTCATCATAACCGTCAATGAGGATCAAAACTTCTTCTGAATGATCAAGAATGTACTCAAATACAGAGTCTTCGATATTTGAGTGTTCATCCAGGACTGAAGATCTGTTTAAGATATCCCTCAAAGTAACGCGGTCATCTCCAAGTGAATTCAACTGGCGGAAAGTCAGCAAATATGCGAACTTCAAATCCGGCAGCTGCAAGTTTGCTTGTGTTTCAAACAACATGTTGTTGGCCCAATCTCGAATAAACTTTTGGAAAAACAGCGTTTTACCAATCCCTGCCTTCCCAGTAACTAAGACAGACCTTGGAATTTTTACCACGTTACTATCGGTATCACAAATGAAAATTTCTTGATTATGTTTGACGGGCTCTCCACTCACTCGACCGTACTGGCGTAAGCGTTCTTTCCTTTTCATATCTAGGTCTTCAATTGGCTTTCTTCCGTGTTGTATGAGAAGACTTGTGTATATGTCATCTGTTCTGGCCTTCTTCATGGTGGGGGAAGGTAAAGTATGAAACTCAGTTCGGCTTTTTACTGATGCTTTCAGTGCGTTTGTGTATGCCGCTGCAGCTGAAAATAAGACCAGATCAGAAGCATTCAATTCTTTCGTCAAGTTTAATTTTTGACCGAATGTAATTTCAAGTTATTTTTTTACTCAAGTGTGAAAGTTCTGCTGATCTCACGCTTTCCTGGGGGAGTTAATGTTCATTATTTTTTGTCGATGATTTTTTAATTCTTTTTTTCTTTAATAGCGTATTTTTTTTCCGTCTGATTTCTCAATTTTTTTTTACGCAAAGTGATGCGGAAAGAATTGCAAAGGTTAAACTTTGAAAAAGTAACTTAATGTATATCCACTTATTTCGAAAGAAGCGTGATGTAGTTCATCATTCTCATTGTTGCATGGCTATCTCGAAATTAATTACAGATTATCTCGTTGAAAGTTAAAATTAATCCCAAAAGTTTTCCCTGAGATAAGCAAAATAGAAACTCTAAAAATACTTTTCGGCAACTATTTGGCTTACATGTCCTATTTTACTTTCCAAGGACTGAATATTCATGTCTTATCTTCAGAGAAAACTGACTAAGTTTCGACTTTGCACCATTTTAATGAGAGGCTCTGGATGCACATAATGGTATCTTCCCCCCCCCTCCCCCCTAACAGTAATGATCCCAAGCCACCTGCCTGTCTTCAATACATTTACCCTGTGTGGCTGTTAGATAAATGTAAGCTATAAGAAAAGAGTAGAAAGGCATGCGAACTGCCTTGGGTAAACGCAACCGACCCATGTGATGTCTTTTTATGGAGAAAAAGTTGCCCCAAGTTTCACAACTTTGTCAACTTTGATATGAATATTAAATTCAAACTTGGCTCTGAGGCTTGGGGGAATAAAACGAAAGAAATCACATCGAGGTTGAAGGTGAATAATTAATTTCTTTTCTTTTATTACCCCTAGCCTTAGAGTCATGTTAGAATTTTTAATATATCGAAAATGGCTTATTATTTACCTCCAACTCCTGTTTTCTTTTCTGGATTTTCTATGGATTCTTTCCAATCATCCAGCTTGCGAGACAACTTTTCTTCTATTTCATCTAATCTTTCCTTGACGCTGACTTCATCCATCACCCACTGTTTAAGAAGCTCTCTGTAGTGTTCTTCGAAATCAGGGTCTATGCATTCCTTTTTCAAATCATCAATGGCACTTTGGTAACTAGCTCCTCCCAGTCTCACCAACGCGCCTTGGATGTCCTGCCAGTATTGATTGAATGTTGGATCATCAACTGAGGCCTGGCTGACATGACCATAAACTGTGTTTCTGTAGCACTTGATGCGAACGACATCTGCCTCAAGGGTTGTGTCTGTTGCAGGAGGAAGTGTATCCCAGCCGGTAGCTGGACGAACAAGACCGCATATATTCCTCAGCAAAACCATCAATAGAGTGATATCGAAATTCTTTGATGAAACTGCAGATTTGATGGCAGGATATAGTTTTCCCCATTGAGAAGGATTAAGAATTCTTTTCTTTCGAAGTGATTGTAAAACTGCATGAACTGGAGGACTTGACAAAACTGAGTTCAGGTCTCCTGTTGGTCGGCTCTTATCAAAGGCGTCTCTTAAGGCATCTGAGCCAGCATCCACCAGAAGCCTGCATAACCGGGCGTAATTAGTTGTCTCTTTTGTTGAATGGTATGACGGCGTTGCTACGGAGGCCATGAAGAAATCTTCCTGAATCATGATCAGAATGAAATGAATTACTTTTCCTGGATGGTATGCAAGAGTGTTACTAAACTGCGGATTAGCCTAATACGTACGAGGTGCGTCAGTGACTAACGTCAACCGAACGAATCAACGAATCCGTCAGCCTAATACGCACGAGGTACGTCTGTGAGTAACGCCAACCATGAACGAATCCACGGGAAGCAAAACACTTCATACTTCGCTCTGGACGTCCCGATCAACCGGAAATACGGACGATGAAGTTACTTTATGCTAGTGTTCCTCACTCGAGAGTCATTTACAGTTCTAATACAGTGAAATGGAATAAAAGGCCGCCAATCCCAGCCTAGAGGTTTGCTGAGAGCCTTCGGATGAGGCGTTATTCGGATATTGTAGTACTCAAACCGTTAGAGCTTTCAAATTATAATTGAAACTACTTACGCTCGGGATTTATGTCCGGTGATTGCTCCTTACGACATAACATACCCTTATACGGTGAGTGTCACCACAATTAAGTCAGTTGTTGCCAGGTTTAATATAGTCTTTTTTATACCCGAAAACGATTATTCAAATAGTTTTAGGATCTTTCTTGTTTTAATTTTAATATTCATTGCTTCTCTTTTACAAAAAAAAGATGGGTTCCTCAGGTTTCGCAGCTTCCGGATGATCTGCAGTTTAGTAACACTCGACATATAAGCGGATCACGTTCTATATTTGAGCCTCTCTATGGGTATTTCCGAAGAAATCGAAGACGCGAAGATCACCGTGAAAAAAACGAAGATCTCAAGATTGAAGCGAAGATCTGAAAATTGACCAAAATTTGCGTGATCAAATCGAACACTTGGATACAAAACTGTCAATACTCGTAAACACTATAGAGAATATCTGTTATTTCTGAATTTTGGCATTTGACCACATTTCACAGAAACCACATGATGCCATTACAAGGCTGAAACGACAAAAATAGTCCACTGTTAATGTATTCATTAAAGACATTAATGAAGTCATTGAAAAACGAAGATCTTCCTAAAAAAAACGAAGATTCGCCAAAAAAATCGCGAAGAAAACGAAGACCGTGGGTACCCATAGAGAGGCTCACATTTCGAAATGGTGTCAGATTAATAGCATTCTTCCACTTTTGAATAAGTTACATCGAGTATAGTCTCAGTAAGTTAAAAATGAACCATTTGAATAACACAACACGAAGGAGAATTGACAGATCAGTAATCAATGAGGGTACCAAAATAAAAGTGGATCCATGTTACGACATCGAGATTTCCCCTCTATTAATAATAAAACACGTGACTAACAGGACAAATTCCACTTGTACATCAATTCATGATTTGTTTATGATAACAGCCGAGAAATTTTCGGTAATGCGAAAAACAAGCACGTGAAATCTTTATCTGCGTCAAAAAGAAATTACCAGCTGTTCTCACCAGGAACTAATGTCAACTGTCAACTGATCAACCAAAGACAAATTTTACAGTTGCTGCAGTCTTTCAAAGATATGAACGTTGAACGTGTTGTTTTGCTTCGCATCGCTGCCTATCGTACGACATTGCCTTAAGTCACGTTCCCACTGAATGAGTTGCCAGCAATCGGATCCTTCTGCCTTTTTTTTTAATTTTTTTGAACATTTATTTTAAAAACTAAACTAGTGAGCAGCATTCTGCCAACAGTAGTTGTAAAACTTCTTTATTCTCTGACGCGTTTCGTTTAATTGTCGTAGGCTTCTTCGGGGAGTTTAACAAGTTTTCAAGGGGGTCAGTGACCATATAGGCTTGGCCGGATCTACGAACAGGAACAGCCGAAGTTCTGAAAAATTTTAAAACTTTTTTTCAGAAAGGCGAGAAAAACATTTGGGGCCACGGTTTTAACCAAAACCGTACCGTAAAGATACCCATGGATTTCTCGGTTGTCTGTTCATGAGAATTGGATGGCATGTAAGGCAACATTCCCAAAGCTATAGTGGTCTTTAATGACGTATCAGCTAGACGGTGTACGTACTTAACTTATAGGAAGACTTATCAGATGATCGCTTTTGTGAATAATAAGATTTCAAATAAATGAACAGGTCAGGTCACATTTCGATATTCTACCACAAACCTGTGGCATATCTATTTAAAATATATTTCAATTCAGCCGGATTTGATGGTCGAATTTCCCCGCTGCTCTGAATTTACCTGGCATGAAAGCTTCGACACTCTATTGAATATTTTCGGTATATTAAACCAAATAATTACCGAAATTATCTTGTTGCGTATTTGAGCCGAGTGGAGGCCAACACGAGACAAGGGAGTGGAAGTCACGAACACAGAGCCATGCACTGCATGCTCCTCATGCGCGTGACTCGACCATCACGCGCAGAACTTTGAGACTTCCATGATCGAAAACAACTAGATACATCAAAATTACAAAGATTGGGCTAAAAGAACTATGAGTACGTTTTTGTTTGTTCATTTTCGACCTCCGATTTTATAAAAACTTAAGATTCTAATAGTTTTTTTTTAGTACTAGTGGTCGAGCCTATTAAACAAATGCGGTGATGATCGAACAGATCACATGGAGATTGCATATTGCTAAAAAACAACTTGCACAAATTGTTACTTTATGGAATATATATAACAAAGCCTCTGGAATCGAAAGCAAATAGGACTCTCTGCAAAATCAAACCATTATTCAAAAAAATGCAATTCTTACCTCGATGGCGCACGGCCAGACCACTCGATAAGAGAGCGCTTTCGACCAAAGCTTTCACGCGGCTACACAATGTAATTCGCTTTTAGTCTGTCTTGGGACAGCTGGCAGTAACTGCTTTCCTCAGGAACCCATTTAACTATGCAACTTAGTCCTTTGGGTTTCTTACTTCGATTTGCGGTGATACAGATCAACTTATGTGAGCGTATGTACAAAACAAAAATCTTTCAGAGAAGGGACTTTCGCTTTTGAAATCCTGACCTTTCGACTTCGTTTACATTTCTGTCATTTATGCTTAATGACTCGACAGATGAAAAAAAAAATTAAAAGATAAATAAACGAAACAAAACACGTAAACCATAAATAGACAGAACGATTTGTTTCAATTTCAAGATTCAATTTTCAAGAGTGAGGCGCTGCTAAACAGGCCGAACACAAAATCTTTCAGAGGTGGCTCAGTGACTTTGAAGATTAAACTCAAGCTTCCTTAAATTTCGGTCATTTATGCCATACGACTCAGCAGGTCTAGAAAAAGAAGAGAAAAATTGCCAAAATGGATTGTTCCGAGATCACCTTCTCAAGAGCAAGGTGCTACTCACTACATAGTTCCACACCGCATCCAAAATTATCGGAAAGAGTATCGAGTTTTGGAAAATGTATTTATGGACCAGATAAAACTTTTCAGAGCTTACAAGGTAAACCCTTTCACGCCCAAGTTCTGAAAATAAATTATCCTGAAAATTGCATGTTTATCTCTGTTGGCTTTCATGAATATATGAGAAAGCTTTCTTCAATAGTCCATCAGAATTGCATGTAGTTAATTATTATAAAATGCTTAAATGATGCATTTGAAATTTATATTGGATAGTTATGTAGCTGTTTATGAAACCTAATGAAATTTTCAATAAAAAATTGACAACATCTGTAACAAGGAGGAGGGCTTAAAAGTTTGTGATTGGAGGTTTTATGAGTGACCTTGCGAAAGACGAAATTCAAGAATTTAAGAATAGAAATGCTTTAAAATACGTAAGGTTTATCAACTGTGTTCATCTTCTTCATGACTGTGATAAGTTTGACATGTCATGACGTTATTCTTTTGCCGGACTACTATCGTTATTATCATCAAAATTATTCCCAGGGAGAGCCCGGCACAACTGTGTTCTTTTCCTTATTGATTGCTGAGGGGTAAGTGAACGACATTTTAAGTTTTCGTAAGATTTAAGATAATTGAGTCCAGTGTAAACGGAAAAAAGAGATGCCCAAGAAAGGATCTTTATTTCCTAAAGGTTACACGAGAAAGCTCTACATGAAACTAAAAGATAGGACCACATCGATCATTTAAGATTCCCATCCGAGTGGATGAGCTGCCCCCACTAACGCTCAACACGACACAACAACCACAATTTTTTATGTTATTATTTTTCTCAACTGACCATAACACACTTAAAGGGTAGTAATGCAACTCTGCGCATTCTTGTCCTCAGAGCCCGCAATCTTCAACCCCAGCGCCGGAAATTGATCGACCCGCGCGTTATATTTGGGTACATGTAATGCATCTATGAACTCGCATATAATTCATTACATGCGGCCCTTGTAAAGATTGATCTATGCGCTTGCAAAAAAGAATGTGGGCTTTGGAGACAAGAATGGACCCCAAAAATACGATGTGGATCGATTCTAAACATGCATCCATATTGACAGTTAACAAGAGTCTCAGGTTTGAATACCATTTGGCATCCACCTTGGAATTAAATACGGATAGGTTAGGTAGCCATATTTCTCTCGCCTCTGATTGATTAGTTGCATTTTCGGTTGAAGAACTCTCATCAAAAAGCAATAGTAGTAGTTAACGAGCTTGGCCGCCTTAGGGTCCTCAAGTTCATTGCCGTAGTCAAACAAGGAATCGAAGCGGAATGTTGCCAGGGAATTAACAAAGCTGGCTTCGATCTGTAAATTAAAACGCAAAAAAAAAAGGAGGTCATGCAACTTCATATCAATACTTGGAACTACGCTAACACAATTGTTGTCATAGTAAAAAAAAGAAGTGAGCGAAGAACTAATTTAGTTAAGGATAATTGTTCCCAAAATGCTTCCAATATCAACACTTGACAAACTAATCAAGTCCTGAACAGTGCGGAGAACGGAGGGGAGGAACGGCTTCGTTGAAGTTCCCGACTATTGGCATTTACTGGATTTTCAATTTTGGCAAAGACATGTCCTTTTTCGAACTTGAAATTGGAACAAGGACTCTGATTATTGAATAGCGACCCTCTTTAATACGACGAAATTTTTGTTACGACCGAATTCAATCAATGCTGTTCATTCCTTAGTTAAAAATTGTATAGCAAGCCGTAAACAAATTTCCTATGTTGTCGTCGTCATCGCATTGCGTCACAGATCTCCACAACATTTTGTCTGCTGTGGCATACCCCAGATTATAGTCAATTCAATTCCTGTTCCGATTCCAACTGACATCAGAAGATACTGCAAGGATCCAGAAACAAATCACGTTTTTTAAACTTACATTATTATTCAACCACGACGAAATTTCCCTATGATTAATTTCTCTCACATCCTCCCTCCCAATCCTTTGTAAAGCTTGAGCTAAAACTTACTGCCGAAGTAGCCCTGTTTGGCAAGCGGAAAACAGAAAATTCTCCATCAGCGACTCTGCTATCGTTATACAGTTTTGTTGGCAGATTGGGAATGAACGAAGCGTAGTCTGACATCTGGTAGTTGACAGCCGCGTGTGCAATCGTCAAGTGTGAGATGATGCGACTCACGATCTCGCAGAGCGCTTGTTTGGATCCAATAGTAGATGGTAAACCTTGAATCTGATGAATGAAACAAGTGCTGGTCATGAATAGCTGTGTTTCCAAAATTCAACAAACTTATTCAGCAATGCACAGTTAAGTCAGCATTGGAACGGCAACACAGAATTAATGGAAGAATTAATGGAAGCCCAGGTGCAGCTATTTTTGCTTAATGCGCACGTTATTTCAGTAACACTCCGATAGTAAAGCGTGTGAATGTTTACAGCGGAGCTCGCAACGTGCACAGCGTAACTCTATATCTATAATATTCATGTTTACCCGTCCAATTCCTCCATTGGGTCCAGTTCCATCTAGTGATACTTCATTGATGTAAGCCTGAAGTTCCTCATCTTCGGCCACGTCGTCGTCGTCTTTGTAATACCTAAAGAAGTTGCATAGTATTTCATTACCTCAATCATCCACCAAAAAAGAGAATTGAGCAACGAGTTCCTCTATATTCCCAATGATGCAGTTACAGAGAACTAATTGGCTAGTTAGGCCATGTTTCCCGTCTATAAGTAATAATCACCCCGCAAATTACTAAGATTAGCAAAAAGCGAAAGTTTCAGTCACGAAAGTAAACTTGAATTAAAAGTGCAATAGTTGAATAAAGGTGAAAAAAACAGATTCTGTTTGAATCATCATTTCATATAATGTTTTAGCACAAATTTTATGATTTCACTCACAAGTCTACGTAACGTTCCACCATCCGTTCGATGACTGTTAGGATTCTCATACCATCATCACGATAAGGAAAGTAAGGCAGGAGGTTTCGGTTTGCAAGTCCTCGTTTCTTGTAAATGATGAGAATAGACAAAGTTCATAAGCCATTTCAGGCAAGGAAGACTCAAAAGTGCGTATCGATATACATGAGACAGACAGACCAAAAGGGTGGCAGTTGGTCAGACAAATAGTCAGATGAACAGATAGACAAATATTCAGACAAATAAGCAAACAGACTGAGAGATAGACAGACAGACAGGCAGAGACAGTCAGACAAGTAGGAACACAGACAAGGAGATAAGCAGACAGACAGATAGACAGCCAGACATACAGACCGACGGACAGAGAGAAAAGGAGAATTTTGTAATTTTTCGAAATGAGAATAAGTGTAAGTAGTGGGGAGCCTTTACCTTAATGTTCCTTCTGAAGTCTGTGACTTCCCAAGTCGAAAATTCATGGGAATCACGGAGAAGTCTATTAGCTCCGTCGTTTCCGAAAGCAAAGAGAAGATCCATGAATCTAAACTCGTCAACCAACGATGGGGCTCCGAACGTATTAGGGACAATCACTTCTCGACAGTGATACTTAAGCATTTGGTTCAGCGGATGGGCGGGTGGTAGGGTCCTTTTTAAGGAGATACAGAATGGCTCTATTAAAAAATGAACCTGAAAATCAAAATGCAGAACGAAAAAGTTAATACTTGCTTTTGAAGTCTTTCTTCCTGCTTATAAAAGCATATGAACCTCTGCATTGAAATATCTCGCTTCTCGATTTTATTCTTGCTTCTCGCACATTTGATTTACAGTCCCGGTATCCTTAATCTCAGTATCTGGTTCCCGCTCATTTCTATCGCCGCCAAAATAGCAAAGAAAGCGGAATCATAAGAAAACGTAATGAGTTACAGATGGAGATTACGATTTCTTAGTAATTCTATCAAAAGATAAGAGAAAATTACCTTTGAGCAAAGGATAATTTCTTACCTTAGCAAGGTGTTCGACGATTTGTGAATATCCCAGATCAGTGATTTGAACATTCAGTTTTGCAATCATCCAGTTGTCCCCACTCTTAGGAGTGTAAACTGCTGAGTCTGACGGAGAGAATGTTTCACAGAGTGTATAATAATAATAATAATAATAATAATAATAATAATAATAACAATAAGAATAATGATGATAATATTTATTGCTTTTATTGCACATTTTAACATTAAAAATTATGTTCAAATGCGTACAACACTCGAATAAGACTAAAACTCGTCAAAATTCACCAATCACAGAATATATCAGTGTGTCAATGATTGGTAATGATAATAGAACTAAGTGGATTCCAATTCGCTCTGTAATCATACTAGTGACTGGCAAAATTAGACAACCGCGAAGCGGGAGTCCAATTTGTCAATCACGAGAATGATTACAAACAGAATTGGACGACAAGAAGTCCAGTTACAAATTAATCATAACTGTTTCAACTTCCGAAAACAACAAATACATTTAGGTCAAATATCAGGTAAAGATAATTTTTAAAGTAAAAAAATTTCTCCATTATGGAAATTCCTCGATTTTTTTTAGGATAAGCGGCTGTTGCTATGGTTATTGTGTTTAATTCTGTGATCGGTGGATTTTGCTGAGTGGTCTTAGTAAACAGGTGTCCGATTACAGCCAACTGTCCGACTACACTGTCTTATTACAGCTCAACAGAATGATTAGTGAAAAACAAAGCAGCTAATGCACAAATCACGTTTGAGGAAATTGTAATGGTCATGATTAATATGCGAATCTTATTATCCGTTATTCGGATGTACAAGGATGGTTGTCTCAGTCTAAAATGGTAAGACTTTATTCAGAAAGAGTTTTGCCTCCCTGAACAATAAACGAAGAAACTGCTGCTATTTTTGGTTTTATTTACGAAAATTGACAAGGTGTAAAAGAAAGTAAATCATCGATAGGTTTAGGTAATCAATCAAATATTCCTTTTTCAAAATTTAGTATTTGCCAGTATAAAGTCAGGACATGCTTTTAACTCCATCTTACCTGGTGTATAGTCCATTTGTATGGCCACAGGAACGAGTTGATTTCTCCGACCAACCTTCCTCGATACGAACAAGGCAATAGGAGAGAGAAAGTTCCACATCTTCCTTTCTGGATTACGGTCTGTGAGATCCAGTGAACGAGGCATGTCATCACACAATTCGTAACGAAGAGCGAAGATGCGACCAAGTGCGATAGCCTGAAAATAAAATAGAAATTTGATTGACTCAACTGTTTTCATCGCGTGGAGATAAAGCTGTAGGATAATTTTCTAAGGCCTGTTCCAAACGTCGTGCTACTGCCGTGCCGAACTCAAATGAAATAGTAATTTCGATTTAAGCACGGCAGTAGCACGCCGTTTGAAACCATTAAGCGCGGCACGGCTGAATTAGGTTCGGCACGACTACTTAGCGCGGCAGGCCTTGCCGTGCCGCACGGCAGTAGCACGACTTGGTTTCAAACGTTGTGCTACTGTCGCGCCGAACTCAATTCATAAATTAATTTAACAGATTTTGCATTATTTGCATACTATTACGCATGCGCACTAATAAAAAAAGACAAATCTACCCGTTTTGCCCGAAAGCTTGAGAGAAGAGGAATCCGACGGTGACAATAAATTGCTTAGGGTTAGGGTTAGGATTTGGAAACGCCGGCACGATCGTAATACAGTAACTTGCTGGCTCTCGTCAAGGGAAACCAGAAGAAGAATAAATGAAAAAACTTTCAAAAGTAATCCTCTCCTTGCAATAACAGTATTCAATATGGACTGTTGCATTCGCCTGCGTTGCCTTCTGGCATTTAAAATTTTCTTAAACAAATTTGGATGGGGCGATACCGCTGGATGGATGGTTTGTTTTGTCTTTTGAATTTGGCGCGACTGCATTAGGTTCGACGTTTGAAACCGCTGCCGTGCTATCGTCGTGCCACTGCCGAGCCAAATTCATTTGAGTTCGGCACGGCAGTAGCACGACGTTTGGAACAGGCCTAAGTGAAAATCAAGATATTTTCATTTTAAAATTAGCAACTGCGGGAACGCGAAAATAGCGAGATGAAAAAGTTTCGCGGAACAAGTTAAGATTGTTTCGTAACAAATTGTTAGTCTAAGAAGGATTTCCCCAAACCTGGCATTTCTAAACGCCTGAGCTATTCTATTTACGCAATCGTTGCGGAAATTTAATTTCGAAGATACTTCTTTGAAGGTTTTAAACGTTTTGGAACAAAAGCGTGGGGAAATATCGTAGGTGCGTTTAGCATACAAAGGTCTTGCCTTGAGAAAGACGTTCTTATTCATTTGTCACAAGGTCTACCCGTAAGGATCGCCGAATCTCGGACCTTTGGACTCCGTGCGACGATGCTCTACCACTGAGCTGCAGAGGCGGGCTTGTGGCTGAGCTAAGCCATTACTAGATTAGTTTCGCGAAAATCTGGTAGAATCAGCAACACGCGTGTGCATACATAGGGAAAGAAAGATGGCAATTTTTGCTTCCGGGCTTCGAACAAAGAAAGGTGTTATTCTTTTTTTCACCAGCGGGGAAAAAGGCCTTTTCTCTCGGATAGGTAACAGAACGCTTTCGAGATGTATCCTCATAAAAATGAATCAAATTGTGAGCTTACTTTATTCAACGAATACTTCGACTTCGTAGCCTGTTTGACGGCACCATCCCAGTCAAACTCAGGGTTCAGCGTTTTTTTCAATTCATTCCAATCCAGTCCAACTGCTGATTCTGTTGAGGATTATAAAATTGGCAATTTGTATGGGGAGCAAAGAACTACCGTGACAGCATCAAGAGTTTACTTTAAGGAATTCACGTGTTTGCGGAAAAATTCGACCCTGGATAAACGTGGTTTCCACAATACCCGTCTTTACCTAAAGAAGAAAAATGCCTTTATAATAATGTCTAGTGGCAGTGTATCCGTCATCAATTAAGTCTAGATCTAGCCGTCCTTGGAGAGATCCAATTGTGTGTGTCCAGTACCTACTTCTCCAATTTTCTTCTCCACCTTCCATCCCAGTGCCCACTCGATATATATTCGCTGTAGCATAGAGCAAGATGGAAATTACCCTACCTTCACCGTGAATGGTGACTTTTTTAAGTGACATAGGGTTAGAACCGGCCAAACGCTGCTGAGTGAAAAATTTGTCGCTTATCCATTCAGTTTTGTCTCGGATAAAAGCCTCGTGTCTGGACGGAAGCCTCACATACTCCTGAAAACATAATCAGCAACGTTACATGTCACAGAAAGTAAAGTTTGTATGACATTACTAAAGGGTGTAGAACACGTATATTCCATGTATATACTGGTTGAAGCTGAACTCGACCTAAATCCATCCTTGAAATGAGAGTTGAAAACTATCAGGGAAAGGAAAGTAAAGGACGAGAGGGGGCACAAAGAGATTTACAACAAATCAAGCCCATTTAAATTGAGATATGGCAATAATAAGTGATCTAAAGTTCAGGCGTAATCAAAAATTAGGGAAATTTCTCTAAGTTATACCATAGTCGTGGTAACCGTAATTTGCATGATCAAATTTAGGGGCTTTCTTAAATCATCAGTGATAGGTTAAAAAGGAATAAAAATGAAAATGTTAGTTTACCCCAACAATTGGTTCCAGGCCCGTCTGGAAAAAGTCTGATAGAGCTAGGTATTCCGAAATTTGGTTAATTTCGCCTAGTTCTGATGTCAAGTTTTGATACAATTGGTGAAGTGAGTTACTGGCTCTTGTCATTGTCACATATGCAGTGGTGTAGTATGCCATGAAAGGGTCCTTCAGAGCAACCGCTCCCAGTTCCTGCGCCGTCATATTCAACAGGGCGAACCCGTGAACAGCTGGATCAAATTTGTATGTGTAGATCTCCTGGTTCTTGGCAATAGCAGCTTTCCTCAGTGACATACAGGCGGCCGAGTTGACATGCTGAGGAAGGGAGACTTCACAACGCGTTGCTGATGCATGTCTACAATTAAAAAATAATACCATTATTCCAAACAATTTGGTATAAATTCGATGGTCACCGTGCTCAAATATCTCAGGCCCTGTTATTTTCCCTCGAAATAATTTAATTTTCAGAGACACAGTCAGAAAGTGTCAGAAAATTTCAGTGTCAAAAACTTTTTAAGAACATCCCTAAGTGTTGGTCGGGTCTGGGACTTGAACCCTTCACTTCACTCACAGCAGTCCAGCGCTGTCTAAATATGACCTAGCTAAGCGTGTTCTTATACTAATCGTGCGTAAAATTATGTAGCGATTCGATAATTACATTTCGATATTGCGGGTGGAACACCTTAAATGGCTCAGTTGCTATCTTATCTCATGTAATCTTATCTCCTTATCTTAATATCGCAAGCAATATTATTAACAGCATGTTGTACGCCATTTTGAACGCGTCAAGCTCTCAAACTATTTCACCTGTTCAGATGTACAATATTAACATTGTTTTAAAAAGCCAATAAGCTAAATGAAACTTAATTGAAGACGACAAATAAATGTTATTTGCAAAACAAATTGAGAAAAGTGATGAAAAGAATATCCCTTTTGTGGATGAGCACGTAGAGAAGATTCCCAGAAAAATTTTGATAGTATAGCATCTGTGGGTTAGTTGAGGTCGTCATTTTAAAATTCTGGCTTATGACTCTTAAAAGTAAAATTTCGTGATACTGAAGAGAGGAAATGTTTGTTTTTGATCTTTTGGGATAAGGTAGACAGAAATATGAATAACTATTCTGTTTGGGTTAAAGGCAGTCGCCTCCTTAAGCCCCTGTCTGATATTTACAAATTGCTCTAAAAATTTCCATTTAAAAGACGCCTCTTCCCTATTTCCCTTTAAAACGTAAGCCATGAATTGGAAAATTTACAAATGCGAACAATAGATATTGGTTCTTTGTATAATTTCACTTCATCTTTTTGTAGTTTTTTGCCACTTAGGAATTGATTATTCAAATATCCTATCAACCACTCTGCGACAAGTGTACAATGAATTTCTTGAACCGTGAAACGTAAGAGCCCCGTGATAAGGTCACGTTTAAAAAACACAAATACACCCACATTTGAGCGTAAGTAACCGATTCCAACCGGGAACAAAATTGAAATTTATCATCTATAGGCTGGAATTTAGCGTTTAGAAGCCTCGACTACTGCTATTGTACCACTAACTTTCCGATTCGCTTCAACGCCGACTAATATTCTGCCTTTTGAAGATTTCAAGAGAACAAATAGAAAACAAAAATCAAACTAACACTGCATTCAACATCTTTTCCATTCACTTCAAACTTTCCGTGTTGCTATGACCAACACACAAAATGTTTGTAAGAAAACGTTTGCTTTGAATGACGAATGATGTTGGCTTACCAGCAAGTAGGAAAACACTTGAACTTGTCATTTCGAGCGTTCCTGGAATCTCTTTCTATTCAGTAACCAGTTCGAAATACCGTTAGGCTATAAAATTTCACTTTCTTGTAGTTAAGCAAAGTCGGTATAATTTCCGCACAGCCCTGTAATAAATATGTTTTCCCAATGGCAATGTATTGTTTTTGCCATTGTTTTCTCTATCCAAGAGCTGGGGCTGTGCGGAAATATTAGCGCAAAGTCTCCAGGTCAGTAATACAGGAGAGCTCTGCAGGTTTAACGGAAAGAGGACTGGAATTTTTCCTTCTGGAAACGAAAACGCAAAGAAATCTTATATTACACTATCGAATGTTGCGAGGTCACCCATAATTTCTAAAATAGTTATAACAGCGTGCTTTGAGCTGAACGCGTGTTTCAAATTTTTTTTTATTATTAAAGGTTAAACTAAAATATGAATAATTTTCATGATAAAATTTTTGGGAAAAAAAAACAGAAAGGACAAACCACTAAAAACATAAATCCGACATACAGAAAGCGCGTGGGACATCTTTGAAACTACAATGGCTTCGTTAGTCTAACTCTCAGTTTAAATTAAGTGCCGTGCACAGCATTAAACACTACCCTCAGAATACCGCAAAGAGGAAAATATTTCCATACCTTGAACTAGTAATAAAGCCCCAAACAAATGTGACCAGGAAGGCCAAGAAATTCATCTCGGCGTTTCAAAAAGAGAGCTCTTCTATTGGTACAGTATGAGCAGTTTGCTTCAGGGCGTTTACTAAATAGTGTTGTTAAGTTTATGGCGTCCTTTATATAGGTGTTTTGTGCTTTGTGCGTCTTTAATTATTCAAATAGATAACAAAAGACTGGCCGAAAATTCTGATTGTCGGACAAATATACAATATGCGCAAGAATTCGCTATCATATTCATTCTGTTTGATCGGAAATAAGCGTCACTTAGGATTTTATCAGACTAACGTATATTCGAGTGGGATATATGCATATTAAAAGCACGTCGCCATCATACAAGTTGAAGTTATTTGAAAAACCTTTGTCTGCACATGGTTCGTTCACTGTGCGTCGAGGTGCAGGGTTAGTTTTCTATTTGACTGCACGTCGATGTTTCGAAAAGCGTTGTATTGTCAAAAACATAGCTGATTGCTCAATTGCAAGTAAGTGTACTTGATATCAGTCACAAAGGGAAAAAGACAAGCGAAGGTTTAAGAACGTGACCGGAAAAACGCATATGTGGCTTGTCTTCTTAGGTTTGTACGAGTTTTGAACGTGATGCTGGCATCCATAGGCAACGTTAAAATATATTAGAGAACTCATCCTACTCGACCTCCTAACATTGCTTACTACTCGCAAACCAATATTGTCTTCAAATTGTATCAAAATTCTAATCGATGGCAGTTGATTTGATTGGTTGTCAATAGCTAGTTCTGGAATTCCGTTTGAATATCGCTCAAAAGAGCCTGTGCGATTGCAGAAGGGAACAAATTGAGTTTGACGTGTTTTTCTAAAACTCCAATTCTCTCAATCACCCTTTGGATGCTCATTGCTTCAAAACTTAGAGAGGCGTTTCCTCCTGCAAAAATTTAGCGATCTAATCTGACATAGCAATCCTAGCGTATCGATAACGAAATAAAATTGCTTCATACTAATAAGGAGAAATAAACAATATTTACCATATTTCTTAACCTTTGTTTCATAACTGCTCTCAAGAAGACGCAACGATTTAGTTATCCTGTTCAGAAAAAAAGCGGTGTTCGCAAATCAGCGGCTGCGCGAAGAAAACTTCAGAATAGCCATTTCCCTTACAACAGCAAGCGTGGTGTTGGCTAGTCAGCCGTTTCAAGCTTGCCCGCTTTTTCGCTCGTCTCTGCCAAATGATAGCCTGACACTGGCTATTCTTTTTTCTTACTTAAAAGAGACCTTTCAGGCCGTATGAAGCAAACGGAGGGCCATTTGAGACTCTAAACGACATGGGCGATAAGAATTGGAGTATATTTCATAAGGTAGGTGAACTTCTAAACAGACTGGTAACGCTGCGTCGGTACGGAGTATAATGATACAATTTGGTTTTACCAACTGAGTTGATGATGTATATAAGCCTCTGTATAGAGTTTCTTAAGCTGACGTTTCGAGTGTTAGCCCTTCGTCAGAGCGAAGGTCCATATAAATCCTCTCTAAAGTTCAAATGGATTTCAGGTAAAAGACTATAAATTAATAATTGGTTCATACGTCAGCGTGCGTTCATCGAGAACTGAAGCACGCGGGAAGTTTGGAGTGCACGAAAGATGCGTAGGAGTTGCTCGAGGCGTAGCCGAGAGCAACTCTAGCTTCTTGAAAAATGAGAATTTGTTCATGTTTAGCGTGCGTATATCGAGCTATGGATGCACGCGGGAAGTTTGGAGAGCACGGAGAATGCGTGAGAGTAGCTCGAGGCGCATCCGAGAGCAACTCTAACATTTTGAGTGCTCTCCAAACTTCCCGCGTGCATCCATAACTCGATAGACGCACAGCTAAAAGCATGAGCAAATTCTTTTATAACAGAGCGACAACAAGGATCTGCGCGAAGAAGCCTTTTATTTTGCCGGATAGAGTGCAAAATCCTCACAACGCACAAAAAAAAGGAAACAAACGTCTCTATTGGCTAGTCAAAAACATGCCACAATTTATAGTTTCGTTTGAGCGAGAACATTTAATCTAATTAACCAATAACTGTGAATGAAAAGCTAAAAATTTATGGGGAAAATGGAGAAAATCAAAGCTAAATGAACTCAAGTGTCACCGAAAAATATTTTAAAAGTCAAAGACCTCAAGTTATCAAGGGTTTTGATTGTTCAAAATAATGTTTACGCTGCTGTGCACGGTGCAATTGGAAAAGACAGAAAAACTTGCAAAAAAAATGCTCACGTCATCTTATTTACGCACGGGCGTGCGTGTGGCTGGGAAAATGGTGCGATTCGTGAGCCAATCAGATTACAGGGACCACCAGTGATTTCAAAATGGGTGTAATAAATTTGTCTTATCAAACATAGTTTGACGCTACTCTGGTGTGCAGATTTAATGAATGTAACCGAAGAAGTTACGATTCATAGACCCAACGTTTCGACACTCCTGTCTAGTGCCTTCATCAGGGGTGATCTAAACGCTGCAACAAGAGGTCCTTTTATATGATCACTAATTAGCGGCCTTTTTTCTGACGAGGTGTAAATAGGCGTCAGGAAGCAAACCGCCATCGACACGATTTAAAGGAGTGTGGGCGGAGTTAATATGCCAAGCCTCCAAACAAAGGCGCTGATGGTAACGCCGATTAGTGGTGATAATTTTAGAATTATCTCACCCAATTGTATGGTTGGTTAGGCATGTATGCTCCGATAAAGCTGAATTTTCCTTTTGGCAAAGAAAAACCGCTTTTTTGTGCTCTTTTAACCGTGTACCAAAATGACGTTTGGTCTGTCCGATGTATTCGTTGTCACAGTCATTGCAAGGAATAGAATAAATGGCGTCGGTTCGTTGTTCTTTCGTGACAGGATCCTTAGGTTTGGCGAAAATGTGCCCCAAAGTCTGAAAAGGTTTTTGAGCAACTTTAACGTTGTGGCTATTCAAAATTCTCTTGATGGGTTCCG